CTTAATCCGTATTGGAAGGCGGTTCTCAAGTCAAAAAGTCTGTAGGTCAAGTCTCCATTGACCTACAGTGCATTGAAAACCCATTAATCCCGTAACAGGCCGTTTTTGTTCCATTTTGGTTTTTTTTCTGGTCTGTAAGTCAATTCTCAGGCTGCAAGTCAAACCTAAATTTTGCGGCCAGAGAAGTCTGTAACTCAAAAAGTCTGTAAGTCAAGCTGTCTGTAAGTCAAGGGTCCATTGTACGCTATAATAATAGTTCTTTTTTTTAAGCACACATGGGAGACCTTTCTGCATCGGTAAACTTCCCCAGTTTTGTTCAGATCACCGTAGCTGCGTAGCTGTTGACCTCATGTATTGTCTTACACTGTAGATTTCATGACAGTTGTAAACCACTTTTGCATGTCTAAATGTAGGTTGTTTATAAACACTTGTACTTAAGTAAATAAATAAAATATTGTAACAGCTTTGCATGCTGTATTCCAGTCCCTAAAGTAGGCAGCTGGGGTCTCTCTATCTCCCTCCCTCCCTCCCTCCCTCGCTCTCTCTCACACAATGTCTGCTTATTACATTTATACCCTGCCTTTCCACTAGTGCTTGCTCAAGATGGCTTACAAACTTTTCAAAAGAATAAAAACAATTAAAACCACATTTAGCTATATAATTAGTACTTATTTAAGCCACTCCACCATAAAAGCCTCGAAATTAAGTAAAATGCATTGCCAACCATTAAAACCACAGAGGATACAAATTCAGAATGACACAGCAGGGCACATTAATAGAAAGTTGTTGGACAATGGTTCCCATCTTCCTCCTCCACCAGCTATGGTGGCTGGGGATGATGGGAGATGCAGTCCAAGGACATCCAGAAGGCCACAGTGACCCACGAAATGACCTCATTCTGATCTTTCCCTAAGCATCTCAGTGGCTGGAGTGTGCAAAGGAAATATTGGATTTTCTTGGTGAGTTTAGTCATCTCTCGCCTTCTCATTTGGCACCAGCAACTCCTTCAACATTTGGCAAATCACCATTTTTTAATCCTATGAATGCCAAATGAAATGCAAAGGATCTGATATGGTGTCGCTCTACCCGGGTAGGGAACAGTGGCTTTTCTCTCATCCCTGTAAGCTGAAATATAAGGTGAGGCAGAGATGGAAAAATGCCCTTTAAAAAAAATAACGGGTCCCAGAATCCCCCATCAAGCACGACCAGCAGGATTCTGGGAACTGTAGTGCAAAAACATAACCATTCCGACCTCTGGCAGGACACACACGGCGATGGTTCCCAACCTTGGGTCCCTGGATGTTCCTGGACTAAAACTCCCAGAAGCCTCCCACCACTGGCTCTGCTGGCTAGGACTTCTGGGAGTTGTAGTCCAAGAACACCTGGCGGACCCCAGGCTGGGAAGCACATCTGACCTGGGGGGGATCCTCCTTTTAAAAAGATACACACAGAGAAACTCTCTGCTTGTACAGGACCCAAGAGGGTCCCCTTACCTCGAAAGAGGTCGTACCAGACCTTCTTGGTCCGGAGGTGCTGAAAGCCGTTCAGGTGCTTCTTCCTGTTGTGGAGATTGTCCTGGAAAGAGCGGTCGCAGTAATCGCAAAAATAACGCTTCCCCATTCCGGGGCCCTCGACAGGAAGCCTTCCAAAGAGAGAGAAACCGAGAGAGGGTCAAATACCATTTTATTATCCCCATCGTTCTAAGAACCCACCAAACGCCACGCATTCCCTCCATTCCACCTGTCATCGCTTCCATCCCGGTCTCGCCTTCCAGAAAGTTCGGACGACGCGGAACATTCCCGTGGATCAGAGCTGGTGGGAGGCTTGTCTTAATCTTAGAAGTGCTGAGCTAGAAGGGGACCCCATGGGATCATCCAGTCCAGCCCCTGTCCGGGAGGCTCAGTGGGGGGGGGGAATCGCATCTTTTCTGTGGCACAACTCTCTGATTGTATTCTCTGCTAATTTTCTGTCTTCAGAATCGGTCTTTCTCCAAAGCGCAGACACTTCAAGTGGTCCTTACTTTCAGAGAACAATATCATTTGCTTAGAACTCGGGTTTTATCTGCCAGTTATGACATGGTCTCCTGCCTTGATGGCCTCATAAGGCCCCATCTAATGCCATTACATATTATTGTTAGCCGCCCAGAGTAGAATTCGGTCTAGATGGGCAGGGTATAAATTTAATAAATTAGTAGTATTAGTATTAGCATTAGGGTTAGCATTAGCATTTGCAGTGAACCATCCCCAGAGCCTTTTAAAAAAACAAAACTTTCCTTGGTTGTGAAAGATGTTTCAATCTTTCACAACCCAGGAGAGGAGATCAGTTAGGCTGGGCTACATCATCTCCAGCATCCAGCATGGATAACCAGGTTCATACCTCAGCGCATTCGAAGGGAGCCAGCTTGGGAAATGCTGGTCTAATCTGGGGTTGAGTGAGGTCAATTTGAAGCTCCATTGATCAGGTCAGCCGTCAGAGGCCATTGGAAGCTGCTTCCCCCACTGGAGCAGTCATATACAGCAGTGCCTCGCTAGACGATGATAATCCGTTCCACTGAAATTGCTGTTTAGTGAAATCATTGTCTAGCGAAAAGCATATCCCCATTGGAATGGATTGAAACCTGTTTAATGCATTCCAGTGGGGAAGAATCGTCATTGTCTAGCGTATGAAAGCTAGACAGTAAATACGGCTGAGGGTGTTTGTTTTAAATGTTATGCTAGAGGAGAGCTTTGCGGATACACTGGACTGCCAGAAGGATGAACATGTAGGTCCTAGATCAATTCAAGCCTGAACTCTCTCTCTTTGGAGGCAAAAATGGTGAAATTGGGGTGGATTCGAATTAAATCAAACTGATTTAAATCCACGAGGGAAATCATGACTTAAATTTAAAAAAAACAAACAGATTTTCAATTAAAAAAATATTTCCATTTTTTATCTAAATCATGATTAAAATTAATTTGATTTTTCCCCCCTCGCCCTGGGAAACTATCCTACTTTTGGAGCCCATCCTGAGAAGGTAGGATTCTCTGGAAAAGACCATCCTGCTGGGAAAGGTTAGAAGGCAACAGGAAAAGAGGAAGACCCAATATGAGATGTTCTGACTCCCTCAAGGAAGCCACACATATGAGTTTACAAGAGGACACAACATTGTGGGAGAGGCCTCATTTATGGGGGGGTCCCAGCACGTAACAACAACAAATAGTAAATCTGGAAGCCCAAGGTCTTATCCTGACAGTGAACACAGGGACCCCACCCCAGAACAAGAGGGAGACAGGCTGCTGGATCAGGGCCTATTGACAATCAAGGAGCGGGTCTTTTGTAAAGTTAACGCCTCTCAACTTCCCCATCAGAATCAAACCACTCTGGTTGTTATTCACAATGAGAAGGGAGTTTCAAAGAAGCACAGTATATGGATTATATGAGCACACAGTTAGATGGGGGATATTTTCAGGGCATAGGGCTGAGATTGCACGAAGGAACAACAGCTCCTTGCAGCTCAAGCGATGCCCCACTTGAAACCGCCCAAAATTGCATCAAAAAAGAGCGTCATTCAAAAAAAAACAGGTCCCATCAAACACACTACTTACCTTCCCCCTTATAGAAGCTGATTCAGTCGCCTTGCATGGTTAGTAGGGGGGGGAAATAAATCTCACAGGCTGGCTTTCGCCCTAAATTTAACCTCGTCCTCTCGGCAATCAGGAACTGCAGTTTAGGCTAACTTTAAAAAAAAAACAACCTTATATATCAGGAAAAAAATAAAAAGGACTACGGATCCCAGATGCCTCAGCTCCTGGGGGAACTACAAACGGCGGAGGAGGCGCAGTGCTTCCTGGGAAATGTGGTCCTTTTCCCCCTCCGACAGGCTGGTGAGGCGGCGCAGTGGGACTTCAAAGACCATCCTGCCTCCGCGGAGGGGGACCGAGGGCCCGTGATGCTTTGCGAGGCGGAAGGAGGCCGCTCTTGCGAGCCTGGGAAGCTGCGCGTGCGTGTCGCCGGCAGAGAGCAAAGATGGCTTCCGGGCTGGCGAGCAAAGCGTATCGGTTGATTTTCCGTCGCACCTCCACCTTCACGTTCGCGGTCGTCGTGGCCGTCTTGTTCTTCGAGCGGGGTTTCAACCAGGTCACGGATGCTTTTTTCGACCACCACAACGAAGGGGTGAGTCCGCCTCAGCGAGCTTGCAAGGCCCAAGCCGCGGGCTTGCGTGACCGTTGAAACGGGCGGTCGGATGAAGGTCAGGGGTCTTTAATTTACGCGAGGCCGAGGCTTCGGCCTATCTCTCTTTGCGACCATCCCGGGAAACGAAGCCTTGGCTTTTCTCCGTGCACCTTGAGGCCTTCTCTGAATTATCATAAGTCACGACCCCAAGCAAGCATAGGGGTAGTGACCCTAGCAGGAAGGAAGGACCTCTTTGAGTTGAGCCAGCTTTGCCTTTTCCAGGAAAGGTACATAAGGGGAAAGAGAAGCCCCATTGTTTTGTGGCCCGATCGTCGTGGGATGCAAGCTATTTAGGAGAATTGAAGGCCTATAATAATAATAATAATAATAATAATAGACCCTTGGGTAGCATGGACGGCATATAAATAAACTTTGTGACAGTAGGAAATATCTCCAGTTTTGCTTGGAGAAATCAAAGTTTCTGTGTTTTAAAATTTAGTATCCTGAACAATACAGATTGTAAGTGAAGCATTTATTATTGCTCAGGTAGTATTTCATCATAGGGTAAAAGTAGAAAATAAGGTTTTTCTTAACAATTTCCAGAAATGTAACTTCTAACCCCAGTTCAGTGCAACATCAAAAGTGGGAGCTATAGTTCAGAATCTCTCCTAGGAAATAAAATACCTTCAGCCTTGATATATATTAAGCTTTTTTCTCCTTGATTTTGCTGTGACAGACTAAGGTGGTTAGCGCTCTTGGCAGTTCATAAATAGGATTATAGTCTTTGGTCGTATCACTGCTGTTCCATAACGAGTATCAGGGTATGTTTTTGTATTGGCAGCTCCTATGTGTATTAAATTAAGAGTTTCAGCCTTAAGCCTGAAAGGTGTTTTCAAAAATACCTGGACTATGACTACATATATAGCAAGGCTTTAATATATCAAACATATATTGTAGAAGCCATATTGCTAGATTGTTGTTTTTTTAGCAAAGATAGGAAAAAGCTTATTGCACTTGAGTCTTGCATAACAAAGGCTTTATGGATTTACCTCAGTTTAATATTTTGATCACTTCCTTCATTGTGCCTCAGATGCTTGTGTATATATTGCTAATTAAGTGCAACATATTAGTGCTATGCTGTTTTAATCAAAACTACTTACCCTGTTTCCCCGAAAATAACACTTAATGTGAAAATAAGCCCCAATAGGATTTTTCAGGATGTTTGAAATACAAGCCCTACCCCCAAAATAAGCCCTAGTTAAGTGAATCCCCACCCTCCGCCATTGTGCAGCAACCAGATGATGACATGACTGTAAAATAAAACATCCTCTGAAAGTAAGCCCTAATGCGCTTTTTGGAGCAAAAATCAATATAAGACCCTGTCTTATTTTTGCAGAAACACGGTATTTCAACATTTGAGCAGGGATGGGGCCGTAACAAGCTAACCTGCACCCCTCCAACCATAGGTGAACATCATATGATCCCTCCCACTGACATGTGGGACACTTCCTTACTATAGATGCTCATTTATGGCCAACAGCAGAAGGGACCATGTGACGTATCTAGTGTTGGGCGAGCTATCTGGCATGGGCCCATCTGTGTTCAGAGGTCAAAATGAATTGCTTTGACAGCAGGTACACAGGGCTCAGATGCAACGTTCCCTCTCACTTTCACCCTTGATGGGTACAACTCTGTCCCCTGTGTGCGCATGACTCCACTGCAGCCAGAACCAAAGGGGCTGGAAACAGTTGCTCTGGGTGTGCAGAGGAAGAGGAGCCCTGTGTGGAGGAAGGTGGAGTTGCATGCGCTCATGCAGCTGCGCACCTTAGAGGGAACCTTAGATGACTATCTTGAAGTGGACTCCTGTTCATGGAAGCTTTTGCTGAAATAATACCAGTTTTCAGTTGCCACATGACTTACTGTTTTTGACACAACAGGTCAATGTGACTGCCATTCTGGAATTTATTACTGTGTCATACTAGAATCCACTTTAAGCAGGTGCATGAAGTGGCTACTGTTTCAAGAAGAGTTGCGGCATGGGGTGGGGTCTAGGGTGTGCTGGGTTTTTTGGACACCAGCTCCCAAAACTTCCCAAGAGTTCCCCCTTGCAGAATTCTGCGAGCTCCAGCCCACAACCACAGACATCCACATTTCGCTCACCTGGAGAAGGGCCTTCCTCTGAGGTTGCAGGACCTGCTTGAGCCTGGCTTCCTGTTGATGTTTTAAAAAGGAAGATGCTGGGGGGCTTCCTGGAAGTCCTAGTCTTACTTCTCTGTAGAGGGCAGCTCCCAATAGACTAAGACTCTCAGGAAATGTTTTAGCAGCTTTCTCTTTTTCATATAAACTGCTGGAAGCAAGGCCCAAGAAAGCCAGCCATGCAATCTCAGAGAAGGGGCATATCCAGGTGAGCCAAAGTGAGTGTTTGTGGGATGGATCGCCCAGAATTCTGCCTGAAGAATTCTGAGAGCAGGAGTCAAAAAAGCCAAAGCAAAACCACTTGGATAGTCTTCTCTGGTTAGCTATACACTCAGACCCAGGTAGCCTTTGTCAAATCAGTCCTCTCATTAATTCCAATTAAAAAAAAAAAACTAACATACTACTGGTAGAGAAGGGCTGTCTGTTGTCCTGTTCCACTGTTGCTAATTATTGTTCTATGACAGGGCAAGCATTCTTGAGGCTGTTGTATAACATGCAGTGTCTTTGTGTCTCTTGTTGTGCAGAAACTATGGAAGCACATCAAGCACAAGTATGAGAAACCTGCTGAAGAGAGCAGCTGAATTCCTGCCGAGCTTTTTCTGACCTTCAGAACAACCTCTTCACCTTGACCATGAAGGAGTGGCAAAAGATCACCTGTACCATCTGGAGCTGGAGGGCCTGCTCTCGAGAGTGAAACAAAAGCTACCTGGACTCATGGGCATCATATTCTGAAATGTCACTTAATAAAGTACATTCTAAGATGTGAACATTCCTTGCCACCGTGTCTTCCATTCATTACTTCTGGCCTTGGCCTTGTGTATAACCTTCGGACAGTATTTACAATTCAAACCATGCCATTCTGTGTCGTAGCAGATATTTAAAGACAGCTACTCTGGTATTTGCTTGGAAAACACTTGGATTTATTGTTTCAGACCAAGGATGGGCCCCCTTGGTCTACAGCTTGCACCAGCCCTATCAGGCATGGGAAAAGAAGTGTAGTGGTCATGACTAAAACATCTGGAAGGCCAGACTAGTGTTCGCCCTACTGGGGAGGTCTCCCAAGGTTGCTACAAGGAGGACCTGCAGTGCATTCTTGCTTCTCCGGATGTCAGATGGCCATGCCCCGGGGCCAAGCTTTTGTAAGCGGCAAGGAGACTCAAATGGGGCATTCCCCCAACCTCCTTTTTTCCTGCTCTTGAGAAGTGTATTGTTGAGCCCCAGATTTTGCTGAATAATGAACAGGGCAATTTCTTTCCAACAGCCAGCTGTGCATCTATTGCTGTCTTTAGTGCCCTAATTTTCTGAAATGTGTCGTGGTGGAGGGGATAAAGGTAGAAGGCACTTCCTGCAGAGATGGCATAGTATCACCAAGTTTTTTTTTTTTTTTTAAAAGGCTCAAGTCAGGAATCTTCCAGGTTTTCTTTAATAACCATGTCCTCTCAAGTCAATTCTGATTTGCAGGGACCTTTTTCAGGGTTTTCCGGGTAAAGAGTACTCAGAAGTGGTTTCCCATTCCCTTCTTCTTGGTCTGTGCAGCTTAGCCAAGACCAACCCCACAGGCTGACCCAGTGGGGGAACCAAACTCCCAACCTCTAGCTCTGCAGCCAGAGACCCAAACCACTGAGCTAAATTAATTGAAAAGAGGGTGCCCAGTTGATGTAACTTAGCAGAGGTGTGTCATACATTTGTATTTCTCCTGTTGCATCCTCCTCAGTGGAAAGTGGAGTTTTGGTAAAGTAGAATCGCCACTGCAGATCAGTTCTGGTCCTGCTGGGTGACTGAATCTGCCCCAACCTCACTTGGTTCCTGCTTTTCGTGCTCAGAGACAAAAAGTTGCCCAGCCTTCCTGAGCCAGAGTGCTGAAATGGGCTGGCTGCTGGATAACAGCATTGTTGCAGAAGGAGAAGAATCATTTCCAGTACAGGGTGAAGAGCACAGCAGGGAGTTAGATGATACTGGTCTTACCATTTCTGCATGGAGAATCATGCAGGGGGAGAACCAGTTTTTCTGTGTCTGCTGTTTGCAAAGAAAATGAAAGATTTTTTTAATAAAACAAATTTTAAAAAAATGTAACAGCTCATGGCTGCTGAGAGAAGGCGAAGCCATCTTAGAAGAACTGACCAAACAAGCGGGATCTGCCATTGTACCCTTCCTTTGGCTGCTTTCCATACTGCAGCACTCTTGACTAAAATGCCACACTGTCAAATTTCAAGTGTCTTTTCTCTGCGCATTTTTCTGGAGCGCTGATCCACTTCACCGAACCACCTCAACACTCTGCGCTATGCTATCGTCTTGAAGTTTATACTGGGTTGGGTTCACTGGCGCAGGATAAATTCATTTAGAGCCCTGGGTTTTGTCCCTTAAGAGAGAACTTTAGTACAAAGCCTAAACACCTCAATGCTTTTATGGCAGTGGTTAATTAAAAAAAGGGTGTTCATCCTGTCACCGGCTGTGCTGCTCCAGAAGCTGTCACGCGTCTGCTGGCGGACGTGTTTCGGGACGTGTCTGTCTGATATCCTAAGTGTTGAATTGAGCAGACCGCGGAGGAACAGACGCCAGCTACAGGGAAGGAAGGAAATGCTTGGTAAGCCCGAGGGCCTATCCCACCATGTTTAATGGAGAAGGGTTGAGAGAAGAGGTCTGAACAATTTAATTACTTAGAAATTGGGGGGTAAGCTTTTGATATCAGCGCAGCATGCAGTGGCAGGGAGATGAAAACAAGCTGTGAAGCAGGACTATGGAAAAGTCGACTTGTCCACGAAAGCTTAACAAGGTGTGCCACAAGATTTTTGTCTTTATTTCTTCCTTTTCCCTTTGGGTTTTGCCTGATAGGGAGAAAGCATCTCTGGGTGGGAGGAGACAAGACTGGATTCATAACCCATAACCCACTTCTGCATGGATCCTTTGTGCTGTCCTACAGTTTACCCTCTCTTTTTTTTGGGGGGGGGGAGGCTGGGAAGCTGTTGTTTTCTATAGGGTTAGAGACCTCTTCATTTAGACCAGCAGATACACACCTCCATTCCTTGGACTTCGGGGACTACTGGATTTTTTTTTCCATCTAAAAAGCCACCTTGTGCCCTCCAATAGCCAGAGAATGACAACAAAAGTGCGGGAGGGGCCCAAAGGATGAAGGGCGGTCTCTAATCCTGGTGATCCCACAGGACACAAAGGGAAGGAGTGGCGGGGATTTGAGTCAGTTTTGGTTTTTTTAATTAAAATTCAAGGGGGTGCTCAGGGGGGGCGGGGTGGGGAGGGTTCTACTTTGCCTACCTCTGATTTTGGATCCTGGGATATCTGGCTAACTGGACAAAAAGGTTTAAAAGACTTCCCCAAAATGAAGTAACCTGCTTTGAAGGATGGACATCGAATAACCAGGAAGCGACGAGAGGTGTCCACTGCTTCACATAAGGCTTTTCTTCCCTTCCTAATGCTACAACGCTCACCGTAAAGAAGTTATGCTTGGCAAAAGGGTTTGTCGTACACAATGCATATACATTGTTGAATTGGGGAATTCACACTAACAAGATGGAAGGAGGACCCACAGCCTTGATTTCTTCGAAAGGGCAGGGAGTAGAGAAAATGCACAAGAGACGGGGCCACCACGCAGCAGAACCCACGAGGTCAGAGGCAGCCCAGCTGAATGCACAGATGCACCCCTTGGGCAGTCTTCCCTAACGGAGGCGTTCCAGGGATGCTCAGATCGCCATCCTCCCTCATCCCGGATCAGGGGAAGCTGTGCCAGGAGAGAGACGATCCTCCCTTTTGCACCTTGCTTGCGGGTTTTCCCCAGTAACCCGGCAGTAGCGGCTGTCAGGAATGTGATGCCGTGCCAGACGCAATGAGCCAGCGGTGTAAGGCAGAGGTCTGCCCATCAGGGCTAGTGAGTCTTCGCCTGAGCAGACAATTCTAAGGGTTTGGGGCAGGCCCCATAAATAATGCAACACACATCTGCTGGCATTCTCTGTAATGAGTTTCCCGTTTGCTAACGCAGAGTCAGACAGCCCTAGGCGGATTGTCTCCATCAATGGAAACCTTTAACAGAGTGCGCACTGTTATCTTGGGGTCGGGGCGTGGCACCACGCACCTCCCTGCCGTCAAAAGGAGGATGGTTGCCTTGCTGCTGCCTCCTCCTTCAGGATGGGATCATGCCTTTGCTGCGCTTCCGGTCGGCCATGGTGCGCCGATTGTGATTAGCCCTGGTTCCTTTGCTGGCTTCTTTCTTTCTGCGCTCCTGTACAGTCTCCCGGCTCTGGCCGCGGCCCTTGGCGTTACCCGCAACAGTGGCCGAATTGTCTGGTTTGTACCTGCAGAAAACAGGAAGGGGGAAAAATGGGTCTGAGGAGGTCAGTACAACAAATTCAGTAGGACCACAAGGTCAAAAAGGACAGGGTATAGAAACGCTCTCTGGAGCAGAGGTCCCCAATCCCCGGTCTGTGGCCTTGTGCCATTTTTCTCCTGCCTACTTAACTGTCCAGCTTTCACATCCATACCTGGTGAATGGGAATACAAAAAAGTCTGCATGGTCTTGGTCTCCAGTAAGATATTCTTACACATGATAATCTTTTCTAATTTTTTCATTGCTGCGCTTCCTAGTCTCCTTCTGATGTGACTGGCCATTTTAAACCTTTTTTTTATGTTCAGGGCAATTAGGGCAGCATGCAGTCTGCAGACTACCGTTATCCCATCTCTGAATTACAAGACTGCTCTAAGTAACAACACTCAGCAGCCATGTGGGGGGACTCGTCATCTTCCCCCCCCCGGCCCGCCTGGAGTATAGCCAAGCAGGGAGATGGAGGAGCGACTTCCACGACTGACACTGGTGGTGCTGGGACACGTGGGCCGGTCCTGGGGGGTGGGGTCAGACCCCCATTAGCTGCAGCTGGGACGGGGATATTCGTCTTTGTAACCCCATCTCTAATATGAACAATTAAAAATTACAAACAGTTTTTAAAAGAGAGATGTCTTGACATGCTGGAACAACTTATTCAGACATCACTGATCTCTGCGAGATTGCTCACCCCCACCATGAGAAGAAAGCAAGGAAAAATTTTGTTGTTGTTGAGGATTCTGCCATTTGTACAATAAAGTGTCTTGCAAAACTGGGGTTTTTGCTTTTAGGAAGCAAAGCACACACAAAAGCCAGCAGAAAGCATTGGTCGCATTGACCAAGAAAGACACACCCCCATCCAATGCTTTGCGTTTTTTAAAAGTTCAAGCAACACTTTATCTAGGACATTTATAAAATTTGCACTAAAATCTCTGCAGTCCCAGTTTTTTTTTTTAAGTCACTGTCTCAAAGCAAGGATAGAAGACTTTTGGCTTCTCCTCCTTGCATGCAAGAATGAGATAAGCCAATATTTAAATTCCCATCAAGCACCTTGCAGTGCTCTTAACAATGAAGGAGAAGAAGGAGGAGTTGTGTCCTACCCTTTTCTTGCGAGGAAGGCCATCCGCCGAGCCTCAGCCCTCTCCCGTAGCACAGCTGGGTCCTGGACGAAGTGGTCCTGCTATGGAACAGAACAAACATTCAATATAAATCAACGTGGCCTCATCCATCCAGTCCAAGGAGAAGAACATTTTAGGTGCTTTGCTAAGGGATAACTAAATAAACCTAGATCCTTTGAATACTAGGAAGGGGGCCATAAAACAAGCGATTTGGTTTGTGAATCCTGAAGCTGTACAGTTCTAAAAGTGTGGCCTTAGAAAATCCTCTTATACAAAGTGGGCTGAAGCAGGCAGAATTTAATTTGCAACGTGCAGGCTAGGTTGTTTTTGCTAGATAGCTCCCTCACACCACTGGAAATTGTGATGATTATAATTAAATATGCTGCAGATGTACCAAGATCCAACAGTGGCACAGGAAGGAGCTGTAAGGGAAGAAGCCATGCATCCACTAAATCCACACCACAACCCACCTGGTGCTGCTTAATTTGTGCCCAATGGGGGAAAATTTCCTCTGTTGCAGAAAATTATATCCCCAGCTCCCTCTTCAAAGTGTTTCTAACTGGGAGAGGGCCAGGAAGCTAATCTGTCAGATCCGGCAAGAATACATCGTCCAGAAGTGTCCAGTTAGATGGAAAGTCCTGTTCTCAAGACCCGAGCACAGTCCCTGACTGCCCGTGTCCACCAGATTCTTCTGTGCCACAAGTGGTCAATGTGTGGGCTTCCACCTGTAGGTGGATTACAACTCCTATCAGGCCTAGAAAGCACACTCAACGGTGAGGAATGCTCCTGTCCAGCATCTGGAAGGTTTCTCTTTGCCACCCCCCACCACCCCGTTCTCAGCAGAGACACCTGAACCTTTTGTGGGTACAAATTTACACCAGAATTTCAAGCGGTTCCTTCCCCCATGCAAAGACACCCTCTGCAAGCAGGGACAGATCCGAAATTTGGGAAGTGGACTACAGGAGGAAATTTATTTATTTACTGTCTCGTTTCTCACATCTTTTTTGCTTCCTATACACAAATCCTGCCAAGGAGGCTTAACAAGAAGTAGCAAAAGGACAGGTTCGTAAAATCAGACTACGTAATATGGAAATAAATAACACAACTCATCACAATACCTCTCACAGGACAGTCGGCAGCAAAGCACCCCTGGCCAGGGGTGGGTTATAGGGAACGGTCTGTGCCGAAGTTTGGAAAAGTTATATTTTGGGAGGACAACCCTCAACGTTCTTCTCCTGCTGATGGGGGATTTTGACAATTGCCATCCAGGAGAACCTGTTCTGATCCAGATGTGCAGGTATTGTCTTCCTCTGCCTGTCTGCCTCCTCACCACCCGTCAAATGATCCTGCAAATCCTTCCATGGGATATTTTGCTGGAGAAAGTCTGATCGAGGGACAGGGGGGGCAGTGCACCTGAAAGATGTCCACGTATTCCTGTCTACCTCTCCCCACCTCTTAGGAACCTTGCTCAGAGGACAGGAGTAAACAGCCCATGGTGGATAGGGGTGGGGAGATCAGCTAGGTGGAACAGGCTGTGAGGTGGCCTTTGCCCACTTCCTTTCCCTTCAGTCAATAGGTCCTCAGTGTCTCCCTCCCAGTACCACCACTCCCCTCCCAGTTTGCCCCATTCCCACTAGGCCCAAAGGGCAGCAGCACCCAGAGGGAGGCGGTTGGTGCTTCTCTCTTTTTGCACCCTGTTCTTCCTCCAGTGGCACACATGGCTGCTCTCCTTTCCACTGCATCTTCCTAACGACCCTGCGAGGCAGGCCAGGCTAAAGAGTGCAAGGACGGCCAGCAAAAGGACACGCAACACACTGAATGTCAAGGCTCAGTGCAAATTCGAACCTGGCTCTCCCACTTTCTAACCACTCGCTACCTGCACACGGAAAGAGGTCAGGGGAGAGCCATGCCGACCCCCCTGGAACCAACTTGGCCCACAACTTACCCCTGATCTCAACAAACTGGTTAGAAAGGAAGATACAAGGGCAGCTTATTAGGTGTTAATAGTCGCCAAATAAAAAGAAAAGAGAAGGAACCCCAGAAAAGTATCAGAAAGCCAAGATGAAACTACTTTCAGAAATCTGAGACGTTATGATTATGGGGGAAATTAACCACCATCGTTAAATTTAGGCAGGGAAGACTTCAAAGAGCTGTCAGAGTTTGTAAAGGACCTGCAAATGTTGACACTTTATTAGAATGTGAATTTCAGGAGAATGTGCTGTTCACAGTTATTGTCAACATTATAAATGGAAGAGACATCTCCTGTTTATCGTTGGCTACATAAAAGGCAGTTGAATGACATATTCTCTCAGAGACGGTACGCTTGTTTTTAATGTTCATTGGCATCCTTAAGGATTGTTTAATTTTAACAAGGCATTTTAAAAACCTGGACTGCAGCTCTCGCCACCTTGCTCCCGGGGATGATGACAGCTTTAGCCTCAAACACCTGGAGGCCACCAAGCTGGGGGAGGAGGCTGCTCGGAACCAAGACAGTGTTAACTAACCCTGGCTTTGGCTGCTGGCCCTGGCGATATCCACACAGTAATAAGGGTCTTCTGCTTCCAAGCCAAGAGGGTTCACTTTTGTGACCTGCCCATCCTGGGTACAAGGGCCCTAGGGAATAGTGACACTGCAGCCGCCTGAAGCTGCTAAACCCAAAAAAAGGGTCCGTTTCCCAGCCTAACAGCAATGGAGACATGTTCAGCATGAAGGAACTCTTGACTTCCTGTCAGACCAGCATGGAAATCCAAAAAGGCATTGTGTGTCAGAGGAAAACGCATCAGATGTTGAAAACATTACTGCGATGTGGAATTCCTCTGCATGTCAGAGGAAAATGCATCAGATGTTGAAAACATTACTGCGATGGAAGGCTCCAGTCTCCCAAGATGGGGCCCTTCTCGTGCAGCCCTCAAAACACTGATATGGCCAAAGGAGGCCAAGAGTCTCCCTAACAGTGCCCAACCCACCAGCTGCCTAGGAAGGTCCCCAGATTTGGACGTCCAGAACAAGTGCTTAGCTTGCCATCATCAGGCCAACCCTGACCATTCGCCCCCGCAAAACTGGTGCACAGCTTTGCTGCTGAGGCAGAGCCCTGCAGACGAAGGAAAAGTCCCTCACCTTCCTCATCCTACGCAGAACCTAAGAAGGTGACGGTCCCCAGGAAGACAGGGGGTCGCAAAGGACACAATTCCTGGCTCACTTCTGTCCAGCTGTCTTTCTGCTTAATTCCTTCCTACCTTTTGACATCTTGGCATCTCCTAGTGGAAGTAAATCAACTGAACACCTTCTCCCCCCCCCATGTCTTCCTCCCCTGCTTCACTGTCATTCTTGAACTGCAAAATAGTATGTAGGTCAGAGCCTACATTCCTGTGAAGTGCTGTGCGTATGAACCTCCCTAGATCCTCCTTGATTACAGAGTAGAGATTTTTTTTAGCCTCTGCACAGTCTGCTAAGCTTGCACCCTATTCGAGCGGTAAGACCCCCCCAAAAATCCACCTCCTCCAAGAAAAGCAGCGCAGCCCCCCATCCCGTTCACGACCCCTTCCTGGCCCCACCGCGAATCAAGCCTGCAGCTTCCCTGCGCCAGTCACCTTTGCAGCCTCTTTTTCTTCCTCCTCCTCTTCATCTTCCTCATTGCCCTCCTCCTCTTCCTGCTCTTTCGATCGGAGGACCTGAGGGATGGTAAAGGGCCTGAAAAAAAATAAAAAGACACGTTGGTGACCATTTCAGTCGCTGGAAAGCAAAGCACCCCTGGAGCCAAAGCCTGCAGCCGGGGCCAGGGTACGTGTCTTGCCTTCTAGGGTGGTGACCTGCCACCTTTCTGAAGCCTTCCAAGAGGAGAGTTCCCTGGGGAGGCGGGTTGCCCTGTTTGAAGAGCTGTGTGGCCCAAATCCAGTTTAAAGGGAAGGAACCATGAACCATCAGGGACCCTAAATTTTCCCGTCCGCAGCCGCTCATGAACAGCAGACTGAGCTGAAGGCACCAGAGGTCAGCTGGCCCCAGTCTCCCCCCCCCCTTTCAGGTGAAATGGCTCATGATTCTGCCTAAACTATTCAAATCGTGTCCAGTTCTGTATCTGTGCCCCTACATGAGCATACACAATTCTAGGCAAAACAGTGTCTTCTTCTTCTTCTTCTCAGGCCCTCCTTTTCTGAGGCTCCCCAAATGGGCATCCGAGTTACCCAGCTCCAGTTCTTACAGCCCAGACTGCTAAGCCTTTCCGACGGGGATGGGGTGGGGGGTGGGGAAGGAATCACCAGCTTGCAACAGGATCGCTTCTGTTGCCTCTAACCCCAACGTTCATGTCCACACAGCTAGCCCTTTTACAGGTCTGTGACAAGCTGAATAGTGAGGAATCAACCCACTGATTCTTACAATTTCTCCCTGCCCCACAGACGTTCTTGGCTGCCAGTGAAAGAAAAGGACAGAACTTCAAAGTTCAAGATTAATAAAGGCATTTTCTCATTCCCCCCTACACATACACCAGAATTGGCTTGAGAGGTACTTGTTCATCAAAATGTTCGCAACTCGTGGCACAGTGTTTAAAACTCTGTTCCTGACCTGCATGTGATCCCAACGGGCTCAGGTAGCTGGCTTGTGGTTGACTCAGCCTTCCCACCTATTGAGGTCAGTAAACTGAGTACCCACCTGGCTGGGGAGAGGTAATGGTAGCCTGCAGAATTACACTGTAAACCACCCAGAGAGTGCTTTAGGCGTTATGGAGTGGTATATAAGCAGGACACTTTGATTATGGAGTGATATACAAGCAGGACACTTTGCTTTGCTAACTCTTGTGATCCTGCAGGACCAATGCATAAGAGGATGCTGCCTGCTGCAAGGCACTGTGGAAAATCTAAGGCACGGGGTGGGGGGCATCTCACAGCCAACTGCAGACTGGAAGACAGCTTGCTGTTACCTGCGTTAGCAATTCTGCCAGGAGGGAGGAGGGAGGGGACTCATGTTATGGGAGCAACTGATACCAACCCTATTCAGAGAAACATCATTTTCCAATAGCAAGGGGGGGGAAGGGGGTGTTCAGAGAAGAAGCCCTCCTCACCTGCTCTGTATGTAAATCTAGCCAGTAACAGAAAGAGCTGCTGACGGATTGGACCAAAAAGGTCCATTTTAGATCCCCCCATTACAAATTTGAATAATAAAGCCTGTGCTAAATAACAATTAGAATATGTATTTGTATTTTTAAATATACTATATTTTTAAAAATCAACAAAGGGTCTTGTAACACATTAAGACCCACTTACTTGATTTGGTGCAAGCTTTTGTATGCATCTCATAAAGTAAGTTGCATTTCACTAAAAGGTAGTACCAGATAAATATTGTTGATCTTTAAGACATGCTTGTTGTTTATTCAGTAATGGCTGAACACAGCTAACCCCTTCTAAAAAATATTTGGCAAGAATCTTATTGGGTTTTTTTTCCCCCCCAGGACCAGAAGAAAAATCACAGAAGCTGCCATGGCTAATTGATGAGATGCTGTTCACATGATGGTCACATGTGAGAGGCCCTGGGACCTGTTCCGTGTCAATTAGCCGCAATTATCTGGGACTGCTTCCCTCTGCCTGGCTCTGCCTCCCTCACCCACACACTCCCAGATTATCTTGTTGTTCCCACAGGACCTCAGCAGATCGCCACCTTTCACATCAGGATCATCTACTGAGTCTTAACGCACACTGAAGTTTGTGGAATGAAGCAATAGAAACTGCAGGAAGAGTACAAAGGGGTGCTAAAGGACCCGGAGAATTGGGGTCATAGGTAGGATGGTGCACCTTAAAGTCGGATCTCACCTTGCTGCAACGGAGTACCTGTTACGGGCTCAGGACTCACCTCCGACTGATCAGCTCATCGTCTGAGTCTGCATCGTTCGCTCCCACTTGGTTGCCATCGTATGTGTCGTCATATTCGTCCTCGTAGTCATCGCAGTAGCCCGGGCCTGCTCCGCTGGGCACTGGGACCTCCTCAACCACTATGGAGTACTGGTTGTATCGCTCCCTTTGCTCCGTCACGAGACTCTTGTCGTTCAGTAAGCTTTCGGTCGTGGTTCTGTCAATCCTGCATTTCAAAAGGTAAAGAAATTATTATTTATTAACAATAATTATATTCAGCACGATCCTTAGAAATTATATTATTGGCATTTGTCTTGAGCAGCCTCTTTTAAAAAAACTATTTTTTTAAAAAAGAGGGTGCTCTTTTTTTGGCTTAATCTTGAACTACAGTCCGCTAATTTCCTAAATTTCCCTACTTCTTTTTACTGTTGGACTCCCTCCATATCTGCAGGGGATTGGTTCTAAGCCCACCCCCCACAGATGCTGAAAACTGTGGATAACAGCAAATGCTATACATAGCATGATAAAGGGGGGGGGGTAAAAAGGGGGGGATCCAGAAAAAAAGTATTTTCACAATGTAAGTACCAGAACTGGCTCCCTTTAGTGGCTAGTTTCAGTAAATACATCATGAAAATATATATTTCTAGGTTTTTTTTCTTTTAATATTTTTAATATTGTCAGACCATAGATAAGTGAAGCCGCAGATACTGATCCTGTGGATATTGTTCTTGCTGTATATTATTATCTATTAGATGCCATGATTAGAAGGGGAATACATTTAACTCTCATGCAGTGGAAAACTCAAGAAGAAGTGAAATTGTGGCTACCGTCATACTTTTATTAATCATTAAAAAGCTGCACACAAGGCAGAAACAAGGAGAGCTTTCATGTTTTCACAGAAGACCTGTGTTTAAAATGGAAAGCCCGCCTTGTTGGTAACTGTGGGTGACCCAAAAATGTACCACCCTAGCCACTAACCATTGAAAGAATTATCCTTTGTAAATTTGTCTTGGACTTTTCATTTAAAAAATAATAATTTTTTTAATTAAAAGGATGGTGCCCAAAAGTTCCTGGAAAGGGGCCATACTAAAAACACACACAGATACATACACACAAAAGATTATCTTATGGACACCGTGAAGGTTAACAGATTTACTGTAGTGTAAACTGAACTGCACGGTAATCCACAAAAGGTGACCCTACAATAAATCTGTTAGTCTTACAGGTGTCGTAGGGTTCTGGGCTGGTTTGGTTTGGTCTTACGTACTGGAGCAGACCACAGCAATGATCTCTTGAAAACTGACGAGAGAGAACCCCCTCCAGCTGTTCTGGGAGGCTTTAGCTGCAACACTGGTGCTCTTATTAGTACATAACAGACACGATACTCCAGCCCCAGGATGGCTGACGCTGCCCTTTCCCATACTTTTTCCAGCCCTCTAAAGGAGGCGCATCCAGAAAGGGACACCAAGGCAGGCCCACGTTCCACCTCTTTCAACATGCGCCACTGGACACAGCAGGGATCGTTAGAGGGTATGGCAATGCTAGCCAGAGGCAGGTTGGCAACCTAGCTAGGGATCTGGCAACCTGAGAACTAGAAGGCTTGCCTTCCTTATTCAAAATCCTGAAGCGAAGCCAACAGGGAGAAGAGCACGTGTTTGCATAAACAAGAACTGGGCACAGCAGACAGGCTGATGGCTGCCAAGCAGATGCCTGGAGAGAGCGCTACTGGGCCTGGAGGAAACAATGGGCTGCCTGGCTAAGGCAACGTTTTCCTGACACTTGGGAAGACCCCGTGAACCACTTGGAGCCTCTGAGCTGCAGCTCTGAATGGTTCCTCTACGGCAGGCTTCAGAACTCCGATCCAAAGGTTTCCGGTTCCGAAGCCAGGTATCAGAACATTGCAGATGCTGATGCTGTTATAATTCTGCGCAGGTTAAGGCTCCCTCCAGTTTTCCCTACTGGCTGAAATGGTTGCAGCAGTCAGCGAAGTAAGCAGAAGAAAAAGACACACACACCCCAAAGTGGCTACAAGGTTGTTTAGGAACAAGATCAAGAATTCCACCCCCAAAGTGGCTACGAGGTTGTTTAGGAACAAGATCAAGAATTCCCAAGAGATGCAACTTTGTTCTGTTATACGACTTATCGGCCAGTCTTCCAAATCAGCACAATGGCACCCTTGGTAATCGTTATCCAAGGGTGCAGGACCAGGGGGCAAAAGGAAGACTGCATCATCCTCTACACCAGTGGTGCCCAACCTTGGGACCCCAGATGTTCTTGGACTGCAACTCCCAGAAACCCTGGCCAGTTCCAGCTCATGTTGGAGTCCTCTGGGAGTGGTAGTCCAAGAATACTTGAGTGACCCAAGGTTGGGAAAAGCAATAGCAAAGCATGTTGCTTATATAAAGGTCCACAGAGCCTAAAGCATCCTCTGGGTGATTTTCAATTCAATTCTGCAGGTTACACATTGCCCCCCCTCCAAGCTGAGCTCAGAAGGATGGAAGGCTGAGTGCACCTCAAGCTGGCTACCTGGGATTGAACCTGTCTCATGAGCAGCGGTTTAGCTGCAGTACCACAGTTTGATCAGCAGTTTGATCACTGCCCCATGAGGGAACCACAGGTTCTACACCACGTTGGCCAAGATGCAGCCCATGACCAACATGCTCCCAGTGGCGGCCTTTATAACGTTGCCCCAGGTCCTTTCGAGGCTCAAAACTTGTTTCTGAAACCAAAAGGTGTGTTTCTTCCTCTGCCGGATTCTAGGCACAGCGATTTCCTCTGTCCCAGAGTTGATTTTTATAATGTTTTAATTTTTTAATTATTTTTATTTTTGACCTTTCAGGGCTTAGCGCGGGCCTCTCACGAGTACCGAGAGCGACATGCTTCTCCCAGGCTGGCCAAAGTTGCCCACCGCTGTGTGGGGAACCTCCTTAAGCCTCAGGGCAGACTTAATTTCAGAGAAGTGTGTGGAGGCAGCTTTGGTGGGTGAGACAAAAGGATAGGACCAGAGATACCCCCTTATCATCAATTAAAGTTCTTATGCCCAGCATTCAAGCTCCAGAAGAGGCATTGTGAATACTTGGGAGATGACCAGACCTGATCCTCAGCCTGGGTGGAACCTCTCCAAGGCTGGAACCTCTCCAAGCCCTTACCAGCTCACCGGTCTACCTGCCACCCCTCTTGGCTTCTCTGCACTCCTCCCTCTGCCTTGGCTTCCATCCTGGGCAGCCTATGAGTCTTTCGACTGTTGCTTCTGCAGAACGCCTTGGACCTCCTTCCAACGTGACCTAAAGCTGCCTGGCAATGCTGGCTCTCCTCTGTGCAGATGCTCAAGCCTGGACTGGCCACGGCTGCTCGCCCGCGAACACTCCCTGAACCCCACCCTCTTTTGACCTGTTCTGAGTCCCCTGCCTTCCCTTAAAGCCTACATCGCTGGGCTCCTGGGAAAGCCCATTCGGAAACCCTCCCCCCCTTCTAATTACAAAGCCAACCATCCCCTGCTCCCAGGAATGTATGCGGCTTTGGCCCCTGGGATTTCCGCACTGCATTCCCTTCATACCACAGGTGGAAGGTCACAGGTGGAGAAGCAAGTATAACTGGAACAACCAGCACAGGATCGCCCTAATGAAAGCCTTCGTTAGAAGTACGAGAAACCCTGCTTCACCTTGGTCTTCCTTTAATTCAGTGCCCACGAAGTGCCGGGAACGTGGAGGATAAACGCCAGCGCCCTGGCCCTGGGCTAGTGGCTGCCTTGCGTTCCAGGGCTGCCTGAATCTTGCTTCCGGATTAGCCCCACCAGCCCTCTGCAAGAACGAGACTTTGCTGGAGACGGGAGGAAGGGCTGGGGGATGAAGAGGAAGGCTGTGCTTTAGCAGCGAGGAAAAGAGCCGTGTGGGGCTCATTGGGGTTTCACTCCAGAATAAGCAAAATCAGATCGGCTACATCAGCTGGTTCAGGCGATGTCCTTCCTGCGCCTGCTTGCGCATTTGGTCACATGACCAGCACATGCGACCAGCACTTCTCTAATCAGCTGTAGCCTACTGCCACAACTTGCACAATTTCACTTCTTCTGGAGTAAAAGCCCAACAGGATTCTGGCGTGTGGCCCACGTGTGAGATTCAGTCACAGCAATGATGTTCATTCCTAATACAGTGGTGCCTCGCTTAATGGGCGCCCCGTTTAACGATGAAATCGCATAGCGATGAACTTTTTGCGATCGCTTTTGCGATCGCATTGCAATGTTTTAAAAGGGAAAAAATCACTTTGCGATGATAGCTTACCGATTATTGCATAGCGATGATTTTCCAACAGCAGCTCGGCGGTTCCAAAATGGCCGCAGGGTAAAAAAAATGGCCGCCCGCTGTTTTCTGGGACGGATTCCTCGATTACCGGGCAGCGAAAATGGCCGCCGTATGGAGGATTTTCGCTTTAAGGTGAGTTTTAAGCCCATAGGAACGCATTGAAGGGGTTTCAATGCATTCCTATGGGCTTTTTAAAATCGCATAGCGACGAAATCGCTTTGCAGCGATTTTTGCTGCACGGATTATCATCGCTATGTGAAGCACCACTGTACTACTACTGCAATGTTTTCTATATTGTTTGTTTTCATCATCATTAGTTGTTTAGTTCATTATCTGCCTTCAAGTCAGAACCAACTTACAGTGATCCTAATACAGCTTACAAGGAAAGTGAGATATGTGAAGAGTGGTTTTTACCACTTCCAGTGAGTTTCTACGGCCAAGTGGGGACTCCGACTCTGGTTTCTAGAGTCCTACTCCGAAGATAAGTGAAGAGTGGTTTTTACCACTTCCATGCACACCCAGTGAGTTTCTACGGCCAAGTGGGGATTCCGACTCTGGTTTCTAGAGTCCTACTCCGTCATTCTATCCACGACACTACTGGGAATCATCATTACAATAATACTATGATAATGTTTAACCACACACAGAATTGTTTTTCCTTTTTCGTGTCCGGTCACAATTTTTATTTTTTAATTCCTTAGATCACATGTCCCTGAAGAGACACATATAGAGGAGGAATGTAATAAAAGGTTGCATCTGTTCAGCCATGATACTGGTCCTAAAAGGTCTGCACTGGTTGCCAGTTGCTCCAATTCAAGGTGCCGTTTTTTGCGGCCAAAGCCCTACCTGGCTTGCGTCCTGCCTATCTAAAGGACCAGCTGTTTTTACACAAACCTGCTGCCATGTTAAGATCTTTAGGAGGGGTCCCCTCGAGGGCACCAACCGCTGCAGAAGCAACTCCTGTTGATTCCCCACAATGTGGAAGGCCCCCGTTTCTCACCTACAGTTTCTACTCTTCCTCGTTTTAGGAAGGATGTGAACAGCACCTTTTTAAACTCGCTTATGATGGCGCTCAGTTTATAGGAATGACTTCAACGGCAGACAGATTTGGCGACGTGAACGTCCCTCATGTTATTTTTCCCCCCAGCTTCATTTGATGTTTATGGCTGAATCCATTTTTTACTTTTGTTTTTACTGTGCTTTATGATTGTAAGTCGCCTCGTTTTTGTTATGTTCGATGACTGCAAGCTGTGTCCCTATAGGTGCACACTGCAAGCGCATGTCAAAACCTCAAAAACAAAAGCGGTCCCAACTGGTTTATCGCAGTAGGAGGTTTTGCAGCTGTGGCTTGCAACTTATAAGTCTGGTTCCAATGCCTAAAGTAGACACAACACTCTCCTCTACTGCAGAGTCTGTCTTCTCCCCCTGACGAAAGCTCCCGAGCAAGACAGCTGAAGCACGCCTAAGGATTCGTGGTTCGCCCCTGAAGACAAAGATGACCATTTCAAAAAAGCCCAGGGGCAGGAAACACCTTTGACCTCAATGCAGCAGACGACGGCTGTTATACACACCTCTCTCACACATGACTCCACTTCCAGACAACCCCACCGGGATGACTGAGAATCTTCACAGATCTATTTCTCTCGCGCGTGCGTACAAATGCAAACATAACACACATGGAACTTAGAACCTAAGAATTGCAGAGCTCGAAGGAACTCTTACAGACCATTGAGTACAGTCCTTGTCAAGGAGGCCCAGTGGGGGATTTGGACTCCCAGCCTCTCTCAACTACTGAGCTATCCAGCAGTTCATACAAAACCATGCCTGGACTTTTTATTTTTAGACACACACAACCCCAGCAGTTAATACAAAACTATGTCTGGACTTTTTATTTTTAGACACACACAACCTACCCTAACCTTTAAAAAAAGCAGTTATGGTAGATTAAGATTGAACTCCAGAATACTGGAAATCAGAGAAGGAATAAAAACACTCTTGTAGGTAATTGGGCAACTGATCCAGCATTTTTTTCTTTCATCCATCTAGCCCACTACTGGCAGGGGTTCTCCATGGCTTTAGAGGGAATTCTTTCCCAACCCTATCTGGAAATGCTAGGATTGAACCCGTGGCTTTCTGCATGTACAACAGATGCTCTACCACTTAGCCAAGGCTTTTCTCATAACACACAATGGCTGAAATCTAGTTGTGCAACTCTGCTGGGATTCTCAGGAAGGTGCCCAGCTGGCAGATACGCACGCCCTGAGAATTGTAGCAGTGACTCTCAATTGCCAGCTGGACGCGAGTGAATGTTACACCATCAGCCTTCTGCCTGGATGAAAAAGTAAACAGGATTTCAGCCAAACTCTTTGAAGTAACATATGGTCTTCTACTTTTTGACTGCAAAACTATTTTGGTGCCTCTGCTGTCATTAAACATGTACGGGGCAGGACTGTGAATGGACTGACCTGAACACAGGTTAGCTCACCTCTTGCCTTTTTGCACCCGGGACAGATCCACAGAGTCCCTGCTGAAAACGTCAAACTCATCATTCTGGAAAATGCTGTTCCGTGATGTGACTAGAGGGGTTGGATCTGGTTTTACTGGCCTGGAAGCAAAAAAAGGGGTTTTAAAAAAACAGCACCTTTTGGGAAGCATGCCATCCAAACTACCCCATGAAACACAATGGAACAAAATCATGATCTGCTGTTATACAACTGCCACCCAGCATCCATTCCCCTGGAATTCGTGGAGCTTAGTTTTTGCAGGCATGTATAGATTTCTGCTGCGACTTTTTACAACAAAGTTATATCAAAGGCTGCTTCCCAATGATGCCAGATACCCCCAAATAGCATCGCTGCCCACTTTTTGATGCCCAGGGCAAAAGCCCAATAGAAAAGGGGTGGCCTTCATAAGAACAGAAGGAGAGCCATTTGACCAAAGAGTCATTTTTTTCCAACCACAGCTCCCAGAATCCTCCAGCTACCGTAGCCCACGGCCACGCTGACATTGTGGAGGTATTCATCCTGAAAAGTAATTTTTCCAAGCTCTGCTCTCTCACCTGGGATTTTATCTCTAAAGTGGCCAAACGCTTTATTTCCCTGTTTCAGAACAACGGCAGGGCTGCCAATGGAATAAGGGAAGAAAACCCCAAGAAATGGCTGTTTATGTTTTCCAGGTTTTGCAGTAACATAACAGGGACACATAACACGTGCCCAAACCGAAAAGGCTTAGGTAGGAACAAACACGAAAGCAGAAGACTTCATTCACAAATCTGGAACCAGTTAATAAACCATGCTGGGTTAGTGGATGGCAAACCATCAGCAACTGTTAAGCTTCTATCTAGTTTAAACGATTACCTTTGCATCCTCTTTCTCTGACCCAGACAACATAGCTCAGAGAGAGGACGGGAGCTAGAGCTGTCCATTATGGCAGGGGTCGTCAACCACTGGTCCACGGCCCGGTGCCAGTCCGTGGGCTTGCCGGAGCTGGGCTGTGGATACGGATCTCCACGCCCCCATCCTGCACGCATAGAGCTCAGTCCCCCCAGCCGGTCCGCTGACCCAAAAAGGTTGGGGACCGCTGCATTATGGTACAGAAGCCAATGGATTTTTTTTCTCACTGAGATTTCAACAAGATATTAAGAGAAGCTACTCAACTTTACCTGGGCATTGCTCGGTCCAGCTTCTCCAGGGAGGCCACCAGCTTGCCTTCCAGAAGGTTGTTGATGACCTGCTCAGCGTCATAGTTATACTCCTCCAGGCAGGCCAAAATGAAGCCTTCACCAAGGTCAGGGAGCAGGTCCTTCACTTGAGAGACCAGGGAGTCCAGCTCCACACCAGAGACTGTGACGAGAGGTGCCGCAGTGGCTCCCATACACTAGAGAGTGAAAAAACGCAACGAGCAGAATTATCCCCAAGGATTCATGGTTCAGGAGATGACAAGATCTTGCTAAATGACTCAGGTGTCACGCAACAGATTTTGTGGACACTTCAGCACCGCTGCCAAGGGTTTGTAACCCCATGCAAGAGTTTTTCCCCTCCAGCTCAAGAACAAGACAATGAACCCTTTTTTTTTTTTTTTGCATTGACAGGGTCAATAATTTCAGCAAAAAGTCTCTGTGCTCAATATCTTTTTACTTTTGTGAAACAGAGCCCACAGACACAGAGCAAACGCAGAAGGACGGAGAGGGTTGACTAAAAAGGACCCAACCAACCCACCACATGCTTCAAATGTTTCAATAATCAGATAGTGGAACAGCAGTGATCATGGTTTGGCTATGCAGCTCATGCAAAAAACATTGAAAACATAAAAGCTCATGGAGACCAAGATAACTTATCTCATAGATGAAGAGAAATACTTTATGCTTTCTCATTCTTGTGCAAAGAAGACAAGCAAATGATTTATATCTTTAGGCACAAAAGAATCCCAAAAGCCTACATAATAGAACGGTTACAGTTTGCAGAACACCAAATATACCTGAGCTGAATGCAGCAAAAAACAAACAAACCCACTACCATAATATTAGCCTTCTGCTTCTAAATTTATGGCAGGATTGTCCCCAAAGCAATTTCCACATTCTAGCTCAGTGCCATACAGCCGAAGAAGGAAAGCCGGACATGCCCCATGAGGAAAGCTAGAGATGAGAAGATCTGGACCTTCACAGACCGTGCCTTTTCCAGAGAGGCCAACAGACCAAAGTCTGTTTGATTAAGGAGCTAACTGAAATCACGAGCTGGAGAAGCAGGGGAGGAATTTTCCTGAGCAGAAAAGCCGACAGACAATTCAGGCACAGAGGGAGAAATGGTGAGTCGGGAGTCCTGGGAGAAAGAGAAAGGTGGGAGGACCAAGAAATGGATGTGGAGAGTCAGGGCGGGGGCACAAGGAGAGCAGCACAATTTGGAAGTTGCACAGCAGCCATGAGGCGGTTTGCAACAGCTCTAAACAGGAAAGGGAGATTCTTAGCACAAGGACAAGAAAGGACCACGTGGGATCTTAGGAAGCTGATAAAAGGCACAAAGGGCCCAGAAGGGCAAAAGGAGGAAGCAGAAGAAATCCTGCTGAAATCACGGGGGAACTGAAGCTTGAGTCCAATAGCAACTCTCTCTCTCTCTCTCTCTCTCTGTGTGTGTGTGCCCAGTTTAACACCATGTAAGCAGGTACAGACTCTGCAGCTGACCCTACCGTGGCCATCACCCTGGCTGCCCAGTTTGTAGCCAGTGAAGGCTAACGACACGCTCCGGACACTCACTTCTGCGGGATCTTCCTTCTGGAACCTCTCCAGCTCCTCAGCCTTACTAGGCGTCGGCACGGCTGATGCTCCAGCCCCAGCTTCAGTCGGGGGAAGGCCTCGAGTTGGTTTCCCCCTCCTCTCCACTCCCTCCCAGGCACTTTTGACGGCTTCCAAAATGTACCCTGTCCGAGTCTCATCCCTGCCAGACAACGTTAAGGGCACTCCTTTGATGGGGGGGGTGCCACATTTCCAAAGCAGCTGGGTCACAATTCTGCATGCCAGTCTGCCCTCCAAGGTCTGCATTCACTATGTGACATTTGTGCTTCAGTGACAGAACCCCCCCCCCAGCCACTATGGCTGACAAATGGCTACTTCCCCAAATGTCTAAGTGATTAGTTACCTGTGTGGGGTTTTTTAATGGATCGCTGTGCCTTACTGTTTTGAATGTGTTTTTGATGTTGATTATGTTTACCAGGTTTTTTTGTTATTTGTTTGATCTTTTTTAGTATTTGTATACTGACTTGTTTTTAGCTCTGAAAACTGTCTTTCAATGAGGTTGCCACCTTGAGTCCTCTGTAAGGAGAAAGGCGGGGTAAATATATTTTAAATAAATAAATCTGAGAGCCCATACTTGGAATGGCAGGCTCTCACCCAGAGAGAGGAGAGTCACAGTGGCCTTGCTTTTCTATGGGACAAGCCCTGTTTGCTTCCTCCACCCACTGGCTTCATTTCTGAGTAAGGCATGGCCATCCAACTGCACCAGACGGTTCTTAAGGCAGGATCATTGGAGGTACAAGATGCATCTCTCCATAGAACAGAGAGGACAGCACCCCTTCTTTCTTCACTACCTCTCTTTAGTTAGGCAATAAACATCAGCCCTGGGAATATAAGGGACGCAGAGAAAAACTCTGAAGCTGAAACTCTCGTCCTATGGATGGGACAGAGCAGTGAAAGTCACTCTGTCCTTCATCAACAAGCTCCCCTTACAGGTATTATAGGCTGGAGGTGGGGAATGTCTGCAAGGGCACTAAAACAGATAAGGATACAAAGTGGAAGAGGCTTGCTGCAGGAGGCTCACGTCATCTGCGACTGGAAACAGCTCATCATAATCGCGGAGAAACCTAGAAATACAACGTTGCAGTCCTTATCACACTCATCAGGGAGTGGGTCTCCCTGAGCCTGGAGGGAACTCACTTCAAAGGAAAACATTGACTTTAAGATTGCACGTGATCAAAAAAAAACACCCCAAAAAAGGCTGTGGAGTCTCTCACGAGGGCCACGGAGTTCTTAAAAAGAGCTGCCAATGGATAGAAAGGACCCAGCGGTGGCTGGGGGGGGGGAAATACACATGGCTTTCTTTTGGCTCTCCTTTGAACTTGGAACAAAACAAGTTTGCACAGTTTTGCAGCTCCACATGCTTGGCTTCTCTCAAGAAGACACGTCTTTGCGAGGACAAGCATGCATTGCCCAGCTCCCCAAAAGATCTACTTACACCCACCATGAGCATACTGGAGGTAAGGAGAAAGCTCCCCTTTTTTTCTTTCACCAGGATTGACCCTAGAAGGGAACAGGTGCTCAGTCAAAAGATCCTGCCGGCCTCACTTTGGACAGGGGTCACTGGCCAGACCTGGGCACCTCTGACCTTACTGAGTCACATTCAGATCAGAAGAGTGCCTCCTTCCCCAGTGGGGAACCTTGGCCCTCCCGAGGTTTTTTGGTCTACTGTTCTAGTACTGTTCCTCTGGGCTGGAAGCCCTAAATCTCAGAAGGGTCCAAAGCTCCACAATTCCAGCTGGAAAATAATGAAAAACCTTATGAAAATGGGAGCAGTACACCTTGACTTTCCCCTTCTGCAGAACACGATTTCCATCTTCATTACTACCCGGACCTCTGCTTTCATCACCATCCTCATCTTAGAACTGCAGAGCTGGAAGGGATCCCATGGATTATCAAGTCAAATCCCCAGTCAAGGAGGCACGGCAGGGAATCGAACCCCCAAACCTCTGGCTCCGTAGCCCGAGACCGAAGCTATTGAGTTATTCCAACTCATAACACGGAACATAACAGAAAAATGGGAGAGTCACAGGTCCCTGTGGCTTAAGGTAAAGGTAAAGGTTCCCTTTGGCAATTTTTGTCCAGTCGTGTTCGCCTCTAGGGGGCGGTCCTCACCCCCGTTTCCAAGCCATAGAGCCAGCGTTTTGTCCAAAGACAATCTTCCGTGGTCACTTGGCCAGTGCATCTTAGACACGGAACGCTGTTACTTTCCCATCGAGGTGGTCCCTATTGATCTACTCGCATTTGCGTGCTTTCGAACTGCTAGGTTGGCGGGAGCTGGGACAAGCAACGGGCACTCACTCTGTCACGTGGATTCGATCTTACAACTGCTGGTCTTCTGACCCTGCAGCACAGGCTTCTGCGGTTTAGCCCACAGCGCCACCACGTCCCTGTGGCTTAACACTTGAAGAAAAGGCAACTCTGTCCTGAAAGGGCAACTGATTTACTATCCCTCCCACAGAAGGAGATGTTCCTGGAGCATCCCGTTCCATTCCAGAATGGCATGCAACTGGAAAAGTTCCTTTTCCAGACGATGACTCCCACAAGTCTGGAAATTACAATCCAGAAAAGGAACTTTTCCACACCTTGGTAGGCAGGTCAAAGACCTTTTCAGGGGTTACTGACGGTATTTCCCTTCCCCTCATCCTGAAGCCTTGACTCTTACCTCCTCTCCTGAAGCACTGAGGTGAAGATCTGTAGAAACTCTTCAATATAAGGCTGTATATTATCACAACTGTGACAACAAAAGGACCGTGTTCATAATACAACAACAACAAGAAGAAGAAGCACAGACTAAATGTGTTCCTCTTGGGGCTTTAGTAATTTCTTAGGTACAAGAAATCTCGGGTTCCATCCTGACACAAGAACATATTTTCAAGACAAGAAGCCACATCTTTGGGGCAGTGAATACTAGGCAGGATGAATAACACATTTCACCTACTATTCTTTGCCTTAAACTGTGCTAAAACTTTGTAACGTGGGCAGTTTTGCTGGATGGAAATAGGTTTCATGTTGCTTTTTTAAATTCCGTTCCAACATATGCTTGTGAACTGACTTGCAAAATCTGGTTGTTTGGAAGGGCAGCATAAAATATTGGGGAAGAAAATCAATCACTGTGTCCATTGAAGCAAAGGACAGCCGTGTGGTCGCAAGAAAATGAAATCCAAATGCAAGAACAGGCGATACCTTTAAAGACCACTAACAAAGTTATCACACAATAAGCGAGCTTGTTTATTGCGTGACGATTTTTTAGTGGTCTATTCTTGTAATATGGATTTTAATAATTACTTGTTTCCCTCAAAATTAATAATGATTTGTTTTCCCCTATTCCCTTAAAAAAATAAATAAAGATATTGTTCACATGCGGGAAAATATGATGGCATATGGGTGGGTGTTCACGCACAAAGTATGTGCAAGGTGCTGCATCTAATTTCATCCTTTGAACCTCTGAATGGCAGAGCCGGAAGGGACCCTACGGATCCTCGAATCCAGCCTGTCAAGGAGGCACCGTAGCGAATCCAACTCCCAATGTAGAAACCACTGAGCTGTCCATGAATCCAGCCCGTCAAGGAGGCACCGTAGCGAATCCAGCTCCCAATGTAGAAACCACTGAGCTGTCCAGCAGTTAAGTATAATAACCTTGGAACTGCATCTCTATTGCAGGGTGCATCTCTATTGCACCACCGGATGTGTGACCAGGTACACCAGACCGAAACCATGAAGCTCTTCAGCATTTCCCACTGACCATGTGCCAGGGTGCATCTCCGTTGCACCACCGGATGTGTGACCAGGTACACAACTGATATACACCCTAGCACCTTATCAATGATCTGCAACTGGCCATGGCAAATCACACAAGGCTTATGTGATCATCAACAGGAATCTGACCAATTACAGTACATGCTACGCCTTCTACTCATGCGCCGGCAACAGAATCTACAACACAAAGACTGCAATCATCTCTCACTCGCTACTGAATTTATTTTTGCATGCAGTTTATGTTACTGGCTGCTGTTTTCAAAATACAGTGATGCCTCGCTTAACGATTACCTTGTTAAACGATGAAATGATGAGGTTTTTGCAATCGCTTCTGCGATGTTCTAATAGGAAAAATTCGCTTCACGATGATCGGTTCCCTGCTTCGGGAACCAATTTTTCACTAGACGACGATTTTCAAACAGCTGATCGGTGGCTCTAAAATGGCTGCCCGCTGTGCAAAATGGCTCCTCGCTGTGCTTTAGGACGGATTCCTCGCTATACAGGCACTGGAAAATGGCCAGCCTATGGAGGATCTTTGCTTTACGATGAGGTATTAGCCCATTGGAATGCATTAACTGGTTTTTAATGTGTTTCAACAAGGTTTTTTTTCCCTGCTTGACGACAGTTTCGCTCTACAGCGATTTTGCTGGAACGGATTAACTTCGTCAAGCGAGGCACCACTGTATGTTGACTGCTGAGCTGTGATTTTTTAACAGGAAAATTCTTTCAAAAGCATTAGGAACAACCTGCTACTGCTACTTTTTATTCCTGGAACAAACATGTAAAGGAAAGACATAACACAGTCTTCTCCAACCCAGTTCCCTTTCTGATGTGCTAGATGATCAATCCCGTAATTCCATATAGTGTAGCAAAAACTGCTGTCTGGGCAGGGGGTGGAGATGAGGAGAAGCAGCTTGGAGGGGAAGGGGAAAGGACTGATGCATGCAAGAAAGGCTGTGGGGCAGCTTTTGCCTCCCCCATCTTTGGTTGCCGCCCGGAAGCAGATTTCCTCAAAGGAAATGCCACAGGGCGTGCATGTCCCTGTTCTCACCCTAACCCCTATGAAGCAAAGTACCTGCTTTCCAAAATGGGCTGAAGGCACAACTGGTTCACGATGATATGGAAAATTTCCACTGCTTTCTTGCTCGAATGAGACAACCTCCTCCATAAATCCGACATTAAGCTAAAGGGATGTAGGCGAGAGAAAGAAGAATTCACATGGGCCTGCCGTTTATTTTTTGAGACAGATACAAGAGAACGCTCTTGTCAGTCAAACATCAATTTGGATTTAGTGCTAAGCCATTTCGGGGGAAACGTCTGGGACTAGGAGAAATGAAGTTTGCATTTCAACACTCCTCAGATCAAACCCATGAGCTGGATCCAAAGAAGAAGGACAGAAGAAAATGAGACACCACCTTTTTCACAGAATGCTTACAGCTCCATGCGCTACTGTAATAGTTATGTCCCATAGCAATTCTCACCTTCCTGCTGCATCAGCCCTAGCATAAACAGAGCCAAACTCCAGCATAAGATGCAAAACAGGCCTTCACTTAACGGAAGTCCACATGCACCAGCCCTAAAAAGCAAAGCGTGCTGCTTATATACTGCCCCATAGCGCTTCAAGCACTCTCTGGGTGGTTTACAATTTAATTATGCAGGCTACACATTGCCCTAGCATAAACAGATCCAAACTCCGGCATAAGATGTAAAACAGGCCTTCACTTAACGGAAGTCCACATTTGGCTCCATCACCTAAAGATGGTTATTGTTATATTACTATAATTGTGTGCTGTCAATTCTGATTTATGTTGATCCTTTCCAGGGTGTTCTAGCTATAGAGCATTCAGAAGTGGTTTCCTGTTCACTTTTTCTGGGGTGGAGGTGGTTCTCGGACCGTGCAGCTGGCCCAAGGCCACCCAGGCTGGCTTTTCTCCCAGGAGGCCCAGTGGGGGGAATCGAACTCCCAATGTCTGCCTCCACAGCCAGAAACCTAAACCACGGAGCTGTCCATTTATTATTATTATTTATTATTATTATTTATTTAACATATGCCGCCCACACTACCCGAAGGTCTCTGGTCTTTGTAATTTACAAAATTATCTGCAATATGTCTACCGCTCTATATTATTGGATGACTCTAAGAGGATCTCAGACTAGTCTGTTAAAAACATTCATATTAAAAATCACATTTGAGACCTATTAGAAATAAGACGTCCCCAATTATGTTGACAGGAGTCAACAGATCCTTAAGGCAAAGCATGCCTTCAACTATGACTCCTACCAACTCTCTTGCTATTATTACTCTTGAGGCAGCTTTTCTGACCACCTGTTGGTTTTCTCTGGCATTGGTTTCCCCTGCCAAAAGCGACCAAGGCAGGGAAGCATCGCATAACAAAACCATATGAGCCTAGTCTACCCCATGCAGAAGACACAAGAGGGGGGAAACGGACTTGCATCCTGCATGTGGCTCCATACTCTCCACTTCTCCTCCCTGGATGCTCCTGCTGGGGAATGCTTAAGCTGGCGAGAGCAGAATGTCCACCTTGCTCATTCTGTTACAGAAATTCAGTGATAACCATGGCACTAACTTGTAGGGAAAGGGTCTACCCCATGCAAAGGGTTGGTGGGGGCGACATGCGGCCGGCCCCGGTACACAGGTTGCTCTTTGGACATTTTTTAAAAGCTAGGATGGGGACGCACATAGTATCAGACCACACTAGTCAATGGAAGGAAAGATTTGCATTTGGCATGTCCAGCTGCTTAGTCCCCATCGCCTTGTCTCTGAAGGTCTGCAGTGGGTTATGCTGCCTAGTAGGGAGCAGCCCGTGTTCTAAGATGTCATACTTATATTGTTCTGTTTTATCTATGTAAGCCGCCCCGAGTAGACATGGTCTAGAGGGGCGGGGTAAAAATCCAATAAATAAATAAAATTTTAATAGCAAGGAAAGCTGGAAGGATCCTATCTCTCGGTTAAAGCACATGGTTTATCACAAGGACCTACTGATCCAGATAAATTACTTGGTGAACAAGAAACAGTTCACACACTAGCTAGCCGAAACACCCCAAACTGCTCTGTATGAGCGTTTGTAAAACTGCCTTGGCTTCTGTTGGAGAAAGGCAGGAAAAAACTATTTTAAACAAATAAATAAATGTCTTTTTAACAGACATAGATAATACGGATAATACGTAGAAGCAGCACAGGCTATGATTCATTCATGCAGGGGGCAAATTTCCACAGAGACACAAAGCTCAGCAGTGATCTTGGCCAGATACACTGCCTCCATTTAAGCCACTTGACAAGATTGTGGTGAGGTTTTTTTTAAAGGTGGGAGATCATCTCAGACATGCTAACTTTAATTCTTAAGAGTAAAGATGTGACATGTGATACTTAAAGAAACAACAAAACCAATGAGAGAGTGTGAGAGGCAATGCGATTCTGTAATCTTGGCAGATGCAAGGCAGAGCAGAGACATCAAGGGATATGCTAGGACCTGCATCTACCTGGACCTGCACGTATTATTATTTATTTATTCCAGAGATGCAAGAACATCTGCTCACTTAAACACACCTGCTGTCCTCATGGCATCGCTTCTTGATTGCAGTTTCCAGCTCAGGTATGACCAACTCAAAAAAGGCAGCCAACCTAATGAACACAAGTAACAAGCCACGTTATTAATGAGCCTACCCTCATTCCAAAAAATAAATCAGGACAGGAGAGCGATAGAGAATGCCAATATAGGTAATACAGAGGCTGCTCTTAGAGGGAGGGCATACAGCTCTTGAACAGAGCTAAAAGTGTGCAGAAATAATCATTTTGTTGTTGTTTAGTCATTCAGTCGTGTCCGACTCTTCGTTACCCCATGGACCAGAGCACACCAGGCCCTCCTGTCTTCCACTGCCTCCTGGCGTTGGGTCAAAGTCATGTCGGTCACTTCGATGACACTGTCCAACCATCTCGTCCTCTGTCGTCCCCTTCTCCTCTTGCTGTCACTCTTTCCCAACATCAAGGTCTTTTCCAGGGAGTCTTCTCATGAGATGGCCAAAGTCTTGGAGCCTCAGCTTCAGGATCTGTCCTTCCACTCAGCACTCAGGGTTGATTTCCCCTTCACAGATTTCTGCCTTGTTGTGCGAAGGGGCTTGAGTAATTCTGAGAAGGTACGGGCTATGCCGTGCAGGGACACCCAAGACGGACAGGTCATAGTGGAGAGTTCTGACTAAACGTGATCCACCTGGCGCAGGAACTGGCAAGCCACTCCAGTATCTCTGCCAAGAAAACTCAATGGACAGAAACAAAAGGCTAAAAGAAATAATCATACATTCCAGTATCTCCTTGAAAAGAACCTCAGATGGCAAAGCCAGGCTAGGTCCCTGCATGACGAAAGAGATGCCACCAGTCAACATGCTCAGTCATGAGCCAGACAGACTGATTTGACATAAGGCAGCTTCTGGTGCAGGCATCCATACATGCAAGTAGTGTCAAATCCCCTCTCAAACCACCTTCTTGTTTACTGAAATAGGCCGCTGCCTCTCTTTAAAAGCCTTGGAAGATTTGGAAATATTCTCCTTTTTTGGACTACAGCTCCAAGAACTCCCCAACAGGAGCAGAGAGGATCAGCTACGCACATTATACAGAGACAGTTTCACTGGGCTTATCCAAGATCAGCTGACACTTAAAGCAGATAATTCTTCCAACACACAGCACGATTCTCACCCCGTGGCTGCAAATTACAGAGGTCAACTGCTTCAACTAAAGGTCTGCTTGTAGATGAGCCCCACTGTATTTCTTTATTTTATTTTGTCTTGTTTTAACCCCACCTTCCTCCTTAAAAGGAACCAAGGCAGCTTACATCATTAAAAAGACAGGACTATATTTAAAAGCTAAAAACAGTAATCCTGCAAGTATTAAAAAAGAATTAAACAAGTATTATGTTAAAAACAGTAAAACCTGCCTGAAGAGAAAGGTCTTTGCCTGCTTGTGGAAGGACAGCAAAGATGGGGCCAGTCTGGCCTCCGGTGGGAGGGAGTTCCAGAGTCTGGGAGCAGCCACAGCGAAGGCCCTCTTCTCTCATGTCCTCACAAAGCACACCTGTGAGGGTGATGGGACCAAGGCCTCCCCTGATTATCATAATGCCCAGATGGGCTCAGAGAGGGAGATGCAGTCTTTTACATAGCTTGGATCCAAGCTGTTTAGGGCTTTATTGGTTAAAACCAGCACTTTTAAATTTTGCCCAGTAATGGATCGGCAGCCAGTTGAGCTGCTGTAACAGGGGGTTATATGTAAACATCCGCGGCCCGGCTGCAGCATTTTGAACCTGCTGGAGTTTCTGAACTATTTCCAAAGGCAGCCCCCCCCACATACACACACACAGAGCATGTGACAGTAATCCAGCCAAGATGTAACTAGGGTGTGTGTCACTGTATTCACGTTCAGTTCACAAGAACTGAAGCCCAAATCCTGGAAGTTACTATTTGGATATTAACTCTGACTTACGCAGTTTGGGGGTTTTGCTGCTCCAGGGTAGGAACCAAACCAACAAATTCAAACAACAAGAAAGGGTGTTCTGGCTAAGCATCAGGACAAACTTTCTGGTGATGAGATCAGTTTGACCGTAGAACAGACTATCCCAGGGGTGGGTAGATTTTCCTTCACTGGTGGATCATACACAGAGGTTGGATGGTTATCCATCACAGATGCTGTGCAGTTCCTATATTGGCTGATGGTTCTTAAGATCTCTTCCAATTTTCTCTTTCTTTGTTTGTATCAGACTTACACAATTTAAAATTATGAGCATATATGAAATATTAGTAAAGGTAAAGGTTCCCCTTGACAATTTTTGTCCAATCGTGTTCGACTCTAGGGGGGCGGTGCTCATCCCCTTTTCCAAGCCATAGAGCCAGCATTTTGTCGGAAGACAATCTTCCGTGGTCACATGGCCAGTGCGACTTAGACACGGAACGCCGTTTTACCTTCCGTTTTCTCTTTCTTTGTTTGTATCAGACTTGCACAATTTTAAATTATGAGCATATATGAAATATTGGTAACATTAAAAACAAATTAGAGTATTTTTGACCAGAACTTTCTGGTGATGAGATCAGTTTGACCGTAGAACAGACTATCCCAGGGGTGGGTAGATTTTCCTTCACTGGTGGATCATACACAGAGGTTGGATGGTTATCCATCACAGATGCTGTGCAGTTCCTATATTGGCTGATGGTTCTTAAGATCTCTTCCAATTTTCTCTTTCTTTGTTTGTATCAGACTTACACAATTTAAAATTATGAGCATATATGAAATATTAGTAAAGGTAAAGGTTCCCCTTGACAATTTTTGTCCAATCGTGTTCGACTCTAGGGGGGCGGTGCTCATCCCCTTTTCCAAGCCATAGAGCCAGCATTTTGTCGGAAGACAATCTTCCGTGGTCACATGGCCAGTGCGACTTAGACACGGAACGCCGTTTTACCTTCCCACCGAAGTGGCACCTATTTATCTACTCGCATTTGAATGCTTTCGAACCGCTAGGTTGGCGGGAGGTATTGGTAACATTAAAAACAAATTAGAGTATTTTTGACCAGAAGCGGGCTACTTTAATAGTGTTATCCCAGCCATTTGCTAGGTCTTCATTTGTACACACGGTGGGGCATAAACTGCAGGCGCAGAAGCGCTGCATCAATCGGATTTCCCCACAGCCGAAGAAAATGTGTCCTGCATTCAAGTAGCCCCATTTTACTTGACTATTCTTTGATCTTCCTTTATAATTCTAGGGCCCTATGGCCCTTCTTTACTGGACACCTTTGATCTTCCTTTATAATTTTAGGGCCCTATGGCCCTTCTTTACTGGACATGGACATGCACAGAAAAAGAGAGAGAGAATCAGAAAAGATACCTGTAACAAAAGTCATGCTTTTGGAATGTCTGGCAAGCCAACGGAAAGACGTCCAGAAAGGCCCAAAGGGTGATGCAAGTGTCGCAAAGGTAGAACACAATATCCTTCAGCTCCTAAGATAGGAAATATTCCTTTCTTGTTAAAATGCATATTTACAGCACAATTGCATTTATCGATAGAGACGACAATGGCCTCCCCTTTCCACTTCTTAGTATAGCAGCTACAAGAATGGGCTAAGAAAGCCCAAGATAGCCAGGCCTAACTTTAAGAGGAAGAGGACGGTCAGCCTTGCTGTACGTGCAGCATTTTACAGCTGCAGTTTCTTCATGACATGACCACACTTATTCTAAACTTGGCAGACAAAAGATAGATAAGGCTGAACCGCTGTATCTGATGTGCAGTAAGATGAGCCTGGGTTTCCTAACTCCTAACAGCTTCACAATTGTTGTTACGTGCCATCAATTACAAACTGACTTATAACAACCCTAACGGGGTTTTAAAGGTATGTGAGGTTATTTTAAGGAGTGATTTTTATCAATTCTACACACATATCCCAGCGAGTTTTCAGGGCAGAGCCAGGGAATTGAACCCAGGTCTCCAGAGTCCTAGTTCATCGCTCTATCCACCCTGGGCACCCAGTTTTACAACAATGTCCCAAAAAAAGGCTTCCCAAGTCTCCTTCCATATTAGGTTGATTAAATCAAGAAACTTGTAGAGAAGGAGACAGGAGGAGATTCCTGTCAAAGGTTTCATCTGCAGTCTTCCTTTCTGGAATTCAAAACAAATTCCTAGGCTCAGCATAGCTCAGGAGCACTTTGTGCTACAATTCTACCTCCGCTTGAACCACTCTTTTGCAAGCAACTGCAGTCCAGTGGGGAGCCCTGAGGGTGTTGGTGAAAACAGATCTAAAGCAAACCTTCAGGATGAGCCTTAAATCTGCCAGAATCAGAACTTTTCGAAAGTTCACTTTTATCGATTAAAATCCAAACAATCCTCAATGCAGGCTAGGGATTCTCGAATCCTGCATCCAAAAAAAGACCTTTTCGAATTTCTGCATGCAACAAAAACTAACAGTGTTCCAGTGCAGTAAAGCAGGATTAGTCCACTTCCTACCATTTTGGTTCTCTTGCTCACATCCTGTGAGTATGCACAGATGTGCTAAGGGAACTCTAAGACTCTACCTGTCCTCTCCCTTCTCCAGCCCCCAGTGTTGGAAACGCCTTAGGCTGCTAGAACAAAGTAAAGCCTCTCCCATTATCTGTCTTTTCCACTTCTTTAGCCATCATTCTTATGTGCCTCTGTGTGCATGCCAGCATTCCTTTGCTGAAAAAGGACAAGGAAATGAAGTGATTCGTAGGTTTTAAAAGCACACAGAATGCTAATAATCTGCTTTTTTTAAAAAAAATGCAAAGTTTTATAGTCAGATTCATGTGATGGGGAAGGTTGCCTCACCCAGTCACAGGACTGGAAAGAGACACTATTCCTAGCAACCATGTGCAGGGTGAGACATAAATCTCGAAGCAGGGGAAGAGGGCAAATGGACCAAGGCGTGATGCTGTGGCTGAATGAAGAGGAGTGGTGCTAACAGACACACAGCAAGGACCCTCACCTGCAGGGGAAGATCTCCCGGCGTTGTCCTGCTTCTCTCCTCCAACTTCTGCGGTACAGCTGCAGCTCCTTCACTTTGCAAACCGCAGGTATGCAGGATGTTGCTGAATACCTAGAAGGCAAATGGCACAAGGACAAATATGTCCAGGAGTGGAATGCAGCCGGGCGCATTTCACTTCTATCAATGGCTGTTATCTGCTCTCCAGAGAAGGAAGCTGCCTGCTCCAAAAAGCAAAATTAGAAGTAATCAGGACTCCCATCTGTCCTTTTCCCAGATGCACTCACCTGCCCTTTCTTTCCCCGCTTGTCTGTACCTGTTTTACAAAGCTGCAACATTTATACCCGGATCTTGGCCAATCAGGAAGTATACATACCCCAAATCATTATGCTCAGACTCTGAATTCCCTGTCTACAGAAGAACTTCAGTGTAGAGGGGCAAACATGGGTGGGACAGGAGTGTTTCTCAGTTTCCTGCACAGGGCAGTAAGTGGAGGCACGCCTGAGTATGCACAGATGCGTTATTCCTGTATTGAGGAACTCAGGGCAACAAGCAAAGGTTTTCCCCCATTTTCACCTTAAGACAGTTTTCCTTCTGTCTTAAGATTAAGAGATAGGCACACCCACACCCATTGTTATGGGCTTATGAGATGGGTCACCGACAGTGATCCCCTCGTACTCAGATTCGCTGATTTTTGCAGGCTCATCACACAACTGTTCTGTTCATGCTAATCACCACGGTCACCATGCATAAAGCCTGTAGCATTTTATAAGCACTCTGCAGCCATTAAGAAGTCTGCGAGGTCTTCCTAATGGCATAGACTGTGAGGTCTACGCTAGATGATGAACCAGCATTTTTGTGGGGTTTGAATCTACATCCATGCTGCTTCAGAACTGCCTCACGGACACATTGCTCAACCCTGTTCCAAGCCAATCCATACAACAGGTTAAGCATGCATGGTATAGCTGGGAACAAAAAAGAGCAATTTAGAGGAAGCCCAGACAATCCGGGCTGGACTGGGACCAGCATGTTCAAATATTCATCTGTTCTTTAGCCAAATAGCCTTGCTGCCCCTCAGCTCAGTGCAGGGAGCCAAAAAAAAAAAAAGGAAAAAAAGGAAAAGATCTCAGTGCAGGGAGCCAAAAAAAGGGGGGGGGGGAAGGAAAAGATCTCAACTAACGCCAACAGAGATGTTTTCTTTATTTCCTTTTGAACCATACCAGATGAAGGGATGCTAAAAGTTAAAAACCAGATTTCAAGGAGCGCTGTTTCCTATCCGGACTGGGGGTAGCAGCGGTGCAGATGCTTCATCCAGAGGCAATGCCCAGGGGCCCAAGAGGCATTGTATTACCACAAACAGGTGAAACGTGAGAAAAACCATCTCTGTGAAGTGGGCTAAGCATCCCCGGCAGTGCAGCTGGAAGAGGCAAACCACCCCTGTCTTCTGCAAAGAACCTCCACTGCTCCTCGGCTCATCTTCTCCGACACAGCCCTCGTGGGAACGGGGACCAGGGTGGCAGCAACTGCTCCGTCATCTTGGACCCGAGCCTCCTTGACACAACAGCTCACACTCTGCCTGGCTCTCAGACGGCACCGTTTTGCTCTGGACTGGACCCGAGCATCCTCTGATACCACAAAGACGCTCCAAAATAAACTGCCCACTCCCCCCAAAAAAGAGCAGAACCTGAAGGACGGTGGGCATGGTTTCATCCAGGTCACTGAAGTAGTTCGGCTGCTGAGTGAAGATGTTTTCTGGGGAGGAGGTGGTGGAGGGGAGAAAAGAGGGAGGGAAAAACATGGTTTCAGGAATTTAAAAAAGATCTAAGTCCATATAGATAATCCCCATGTGCTCTCTTCGCATCCCTCCCATTTTACTCAGAGCCTCTTTACCTTACACAATAAGAAAAAAAGGTGCACGCGCACACGCACATGCACGCCCACGCACATACACACATACACACCACAACCAATGATACATCCTGGGCACATTTTTATTTCCCACATCTCCCCTTGTGTTATGATCCCAAAAACCAATGATACATCCTGGGCACATTTTTTATTCCCCACATCTCCCCTTGTGTTATGATCCCAAAAGTAAAACTATATGATCTAGAGTATAACGAACCTTTCCTATCAGACCGTCTTTCTTTGGATAAAGTCCTCAATAAACAAGGCAAGAAGCTAGCCAAGACAATGTCTGGCCTACAACTAATTTGCCTTCATGGCAGCTCTCAGGATGACTCAAAACTTCACCTTCCTTAACAGTTAGGCAGGGAGTGTCATCGATTATATATTTTGCTCCCCTAGGTTGGTGCTCCAGGAGACTAATATAATAGATCGACCTGAAAGCGACCACCTACCTGTCTGTTTTTCCATTCCCCTGACGACTCCACAGTTGCCCCCACCACCAGCTGATCGGGCAGAGAGGACTATGGTTGTAGGGAAATGCTTAAAATGGTCCCCCCTTGTTGACCAAACAATTCGGAAACAGCTAAACAACCCACATCTGCTGAGTGTACATAGGGACATTGCAACTATACGAAAAGAAAATGGCTTTGGAGCAGGAGAGTTTGCTGGGCAATTAATTGTTGCAGGACAGTTTAACAACTCTTCCCACCTCACATTCTCCTTGGCTAATTCCCCCATCTGCACCTCTCGTAGCCTGGTAATGGGAATTCTCAAATTGTTTAGGAACATGGATTTGTCAAGACAGCCTCCCGTGTCTCAAATGTTCGGCTTGCGAATGCAGCCTAGAGTTTCAAAGCCCCACAGCAAGAGGCGACACTGGAATAATCTATGATGGCTGTACGGCTCAAGCGGTTTAGGTATCTGGCCATGGAGCCAAAAGTTGTGAGTGTGATTCTGCACTGTGCCTCTTGGAGAAGAGCAGTGCGAATGCGATTCTGCACTGTGCCTCTTGGAGAAGAGCCAGCCTGGGTGGCCTTGGGCAAGCTGCACAGTCCCAGGAGACGCTCAGAAGGAGGGAAATGGTCAACCACTTCTGAGTCCTCTCTATCTGGAAAACCCTGAAAAGGGTTGCAGTAAGGCAGAATTGACCTAATGGCGCGTGATTATTATTTATAAAGTTCATTATATTTCTTCACTGATTTCCTGTTCACCACCAAGAGAACAGAGTAGCAAAAGGAAAAAAAATGCTGCTTTTATACTGTTCCAATAGCACTTAAAGAACTCTCTGGGCAGTTTAAGAGTAGCAAAAGGGGAAAAAAACATGCTGCTTTTATACTGTTCCTATAGCATTTAAAGAACTCTCTGGGCAGTTTCCAATTTAATTAGGCAGGCTACTCATTGCCCTACAGCAGCAAGCTAGGTGCCTCAAAAGGATGGAAGATTGAATGAACCTAAAGCCAACTACCTGGGATTGATCCCAGTCATGAGCAGTTTTCACTGCAGTATTGTGGTTTAGCCACTGTTTCATGAGGCTCATGAAGGAAATTATGACAGAAAGCTAAACACAGGAAGATCGCAAACACACCCTTGCCCCCAAATTTGTAAAGGCAACTGAAGAGAGATGTGAGAGAGCCAATCAAAACCCTGATTTTCAGAGGGAGCTCCTCCCAGAAACCCATAATGCCATCCTAGGACTGACCAATCATCTTGTGAAGCAGAGCCCCGTTGCCTTTTCCAAAAAGCACACACAGGTCCAGGATCTTGGGAATGTCAAACAAGAAGTTGTTGTACAGGATCTCTCCAAAAACTGATGGTGTAATGAAACAATCCTATCAGGAGAAAAACATGGATGAATACTTACTGATACATTGTGCAACTTTAATTGTTACGACAATTGGCATGAAGGAGGAGCCTATTACAAAGACTGTAGGAAGACTGATTGATTGATTGATTGATTGATTGATTGATTGATTGATTGATTGACTGATTGATTGATTGATTGATTGATTGATTGATTGATTGATTTTATATCCCGCCCATCTGGTATATTCTATGGAGTGTACAGTAATAATAAAATGCGAGAAGGAAACAAGTCCTTTACTAAGGGGAAGGACTCTCAAAGTAGTTTAACAATTGTTGCTCCTTTTCCAGAGCACATTCTGCCTTAAGCAACAAATTCTGAGAGCTAAAGTATCTACAAGAGCTGCCACATGCCTTTAAAAAATTCTCAGGGCAGCTGACAGCACAATACAAAAATAGAACAAAGATCAGTAGAAAAACATCAGAATTCCTCATCCTAAACCCACAAACCAATATCTTAAAAAAAGATAGACAATAAGACAATGTAAGATCACCTATAGTCAGCAGCAATTCTCTTATGGAGTCTTCCTGGTGCAAAAGCTTCTTCATAATCTCTATAAAGACTACAGCACAACACCACCCCCCAAACAGCTGGTATTCCATTCCCACAAAAGTCCCCGCTCTCAGGCTCCATCACTTCAACATGGGGTCCGCCCATCTTGGCAGGCCTTGGTAATGAAGACCAGCCATCGTAAAATCGAATCCACGCGACGGAGGGAGCTCCCGACGCTTGTCCCAGCTCCTGCCAACCTAGCCATTCGAAAGCATGTAAAAATGCAAGTAGATAAATAGGTACCACCCTGGTGGGAAGGTCACGGCATTCTGTGTCTAGTCACGCTGGCCACGTGACCACAGAAACTGTCTCTGAACAAACGCTGGCTCTACGGCTTGGAGTCAGACACGACTGGACTAAACATCAAGGGGTAATGTTCACTAAGCCATAAGTCAACTCAGCCAATGCAGCTATAAAGGGTTTGAAGCCACTTTCTGAATCAGGGTTGTAGGATAAAGGGGAAGGGATGGCAGAATTCTTGCACAGAAAACCAAAGCTTGGAAAAGTAATTTTTTTAAAGTTACAACTGCCAGAAACCCCAGTCAGCATGACCTCTGGATTCAAGAAACTGTACTCCATACAAGGACTTCTGCAAACTGTATAAAGAATCACAGGAAGGATTGGTCGCCCCCAAATGACCTGCTTGTTTATTCATTGTTTTTAAAGGGGGCAAATGAATAAGCAGCTTATAATTCAATTCATATGAGGGATTCACATAGTTAGTCATAACGCTCCACAACATGATATGAATGAAGCAGCTACTTTAGATCCCAGAAAGTGGCAAATACTGGATCAAAACTTCCTCTTCCATTAAAAATATATGACAGTAGCCCATTGCACAGGGCAGGATTCGTGATCTGCGACCCTATGGCTGGAGGCTGGCAATTTGCAGCCCACCCGTCTGTGGCCTGTGGCCTACCTTCAGAGGCCTTCTGCAGGCCATGTGCTCACAGCCCTATCAAAAGGGATCTGACCCTCCCTGCCAGACAGGACTTCAGGCAGCAAGAGAAGGCACTAGCAAGAAAAGAGGCTGTTTTGGGTTCTGGCCCTTGCCCACCCCGGGCAAGCACCCCTGAGCGTTCCACTCTGACACAGGATTACTGAAGCCCATGTTCTTTCCTAGAACAGCTTTAGGGACAGAATGCGCTATCTATCTAAACAAACACATTCATGTTTTCCCCAGTTCCTTTAGATGCATGAGGTTATACTGTGCTTCTATTCATTGATGACTAAGGAATGCCGTTTAATTTTTTTTTTAAATTGAAGTGGAGGCTATGAAAGGAAGGCCATTAGGAAAGACAAACAGAAATTCGTGTCAGCCAAACAAAAAATGACCAACCAACACCCCCCCCCAAAAAAAAATCCAGTATGTACACAACTCAAAAGCACGCAGAGCAAATAAAGATGTGGTATTTACTTTGGACTCCTTGTGAGTGGACATTCGGAGGAAGGTGAGGAAAACGTTCCGATGAATGCGTCTCTGCAGGTCGTTCACCTCTGGAGGCAAATCTGCTCCTGCATCAAACTTGCGAGGGGCCTGGCGTAGGTAGGAATCGAGGCATTTTTGAAGCGTCTCGTCGAAGATCACCTGGTGTGCACACACACGTACACAAAATCAAAGGTCTCATTAAGGGAAAAAAGTGACATACAAGTATGTACTTGGCAGGCTCCCGCATGCTGCCTCAACAATGAGCATAACATTTTTGGGTCAAAGCACTGGAAGCAAAGATTCTGTTGACCAAAGGAGGAGGGAAAACAACCTTCCTTTTTAAAGTTTCTGTATTACATGTTTATTGAAGGTGTAAATGTTATGACAAGAACACTCCTCATTTTTCAGATACTAATTACTTACTTGAGTAACTAAGCACTTAATTTAAATTAGTTAAGCATCTTTCAACTGATTGGTTAAGCCAACTGGCTCATCTACCAAACTCTGTAATAGTGGACACCATGTAAGATAACTTCCTGTTTAACAAACAGAAGATGAATGGTGGAAATGTTATCCTTTCTTTTTGAATTCTACGTTCCTGCAGAGGAGCAGATTCAAAATCTGAGTCTCAAGAAAAGCACAGAAGTGTGTTCTTAACACTCCACCTCAATTATTCAAATTTTCATTTGCTGATCACATTTTAATCTTGCAGGTTTTCAATTTTGGTTATTTAATCTGGTGAATTTGGTGGCCCCTCAGAGCAAAAAATACCAGGGGGTGGGGGGACACACGTCCTTCCAAAGAACATACAGTCACGTCGAAAGGAAAGTACATTCTCTTTGAATTCTATGGATTTACATATCAGGACATATTAAAAATCATCTGGTCCTTAGCAGGTCTGAAAATTCATTAAATACAACCTCAGAGGAACAACAATAAATGACATATTATGACATGTCATGATTTATTTTACTCTACCAGGATCACAATTCTCCTTTAAAACAAGGCAGGCCTTTCCTACCCATCCTTCTTTTTAACAGAAAGGTGCTTTCAGATGCTTTTTTTAAAAATCCAGTTCTCCAAGTAGCAAGGGCCTAGTGCAGGCTGGAGACTCCAGGCTGGAGATTTTTCCTTCTGATTGTGACAACAAATGGTAACTGTAAGTAAAGATGCCTTTTTTCTACTTTGTGGCTGTGGAGCCGGAGGTTGGGAGTTTGATTCCCCCACTGGGCCTCCTAAGTGAAGAGCCAGTCTGTACAGCCTTGGGCAAGCTGTACAGTCCCAGGGTGCCCCCATGCTGGAGACTCCATTTTTCCTTCTGATTGTGACAACAAATAGTAACTGTAAGTAAAGATGCCTTTTTTCTACTTTGTGGCTGTGGAGCCGGAGGTTGGGAGTTTGACTCCCCCACTGGGCCTCCTGGGTGAAGAGCCAGTCTGTGCAGCCTTGGGCAAGCTGTACAGTCCCAGGGTGCCCCCAGAAGAAGGGAACTGGAAACCACTCCGAAGTAGCCTCTATTTAGAAATCCCTGAAAAGGGTTACCATAAGTCAGAATTGGCTTGATGATACGTTATTGTTGTTGTTAGAGTGATTTCATCACGCAAAATGCTAGTTTGTGTGCAAAAAAAACATGGGGTGTGTGTTGAGACTGAGCTGATCTCTCCACATTTCTGTGTTGTTGCTTTTTCCAGCTCATGCTCTGCTAACTAAAAGGAATAACCCAAATTCTCCAATATAGTCTATGATTTTATAGTCCAACTCCCTTATTATTTTATAACTCATACATAGAGGATAAAAGAAAGAGATGCATTCAGGGAGAAGAGCTGAACCTGATCCTGCTAAAGTGTCCCCATTCTAAAATGATCATCATCAACATCCCCATAGTTACAGATTCCCTCCCCTTTTAAAAAAAATGTTGTCTGTGTCTTGATCTCCACAGAACAGGAAACATATGGCCCATATGGGGGCAGTGGTTAGAATTTTGTACTGGGTCTTGGGAAGCCCCCACTGAGCCACAACATTCACTGGGTCACCTTGCGCTGGCCACACCTCACCTAGCCACCAAACTGGTTAATGGGAAGATGAAATAGGAAGGAATGGGGAGCCGGGGATTTGAGCTCTTGGGGGTGGGCGGGATGGGACGGAGACACAACTAATAAAAAGAAATAAATAATTATATTCAAGCTGCCCTTCGCCCTAACTATCACAATCATTGTGAAGAATGGGAGGAGGAGGAGCCATCATCAGAAGGGCCACACCTTCACCCCTCCCTTCTTGTGAGACCATGACATTATCTTAAGAACTTCCATTTCTGCTGAGAAAGGCTGCACTACAAAATCAAAGCTTTTGCTTATATAAATATATTTCAACATCAAAAAGATACTCTTCTCCCTGCCCATTTCTTTCTTCCTTTCTTAGTTGAGCCGCAAGGCTACCTGGCACCAGAATCTGTCATGAGGCAACGCCAAGAGCCAGTCCAGATCATCTGCCACAAAGGTGGCTCGCTCCAAAAACTCCTCCAGTAGTGCGGGATCTCTGGCCTTTGGTGGAGGTTTATACAGCACAAAAGACCGTTCTGTTTTCTTCTGAGGATGCTGCAGAAAAACAAAATGCCACGAGTGTCAACAGACCGGAGACTAAACAGTACTCCCTCAGTGTAGCTGCTCAAGCTATCTCAAGTATCTTGACAGCCGGGGACTGTGCCTGTTTTTGCAATAAAATTCCACCTGTGGTTAAGCAAGAATCCTTGTTTTTGCTCTCACCAGCTTGCTAGTAGAGATGCCTTCTCACCCCTCGTTCGGGGGAGAACTCCGTATTTTACAATGACACTTTCGAAAGCCTGAGCAATTTGCTAGATGTTCTGCCCACACCTTCCTCACGTCCAGCTTCCTCCTCTCCTGCCATGTTTGCAAAACAGAGGCTGGAAAGCATCTTTGGACATACAGTACTGAATATTTAGCCGAGACAATCCTGTACTGAACAGGAAGATATACAAAGGGACAATTTTTTAGGGAGCTGGAATGAGATCATATTTCATTCCTGATAGGAACACATTTGTTCAGTTGCACATGGTTTTTTTTTCTTAATCCATATATTTAGTGTTTCACTGTGGTTTCTGCTCAAACCAGTTTTGCAGCTTACTCCAAATACACAGAAGTTAGAGAAACGTGTTCCTGGAGCTGCAGGAGAGGAGACAGTCAAGTATACTCTATTCCCACGGAATTTAACGGGACTTTGGTACACAGTTAAAAGCAACTAAAAAGATATTGTGTGCATGGAAAAGTAATAAATATATAAGCCCTAAACATTTTCTGGATAACGAATATGACCCCCATTTTCCCTATTTCATTTAGTTCAATGCAGCCCAAGGATGTTTTGCAGGTTCTGTTTCAGAAAGAAGCGTGGGGAGAAAGGGGAGGTTTAATAGCCGGGTAGGTGGGGCTCGTCAGCCATGGAAGGCAGCCCATCTAGGAGAAGGAAAACTCCGATTTCAAACCTCCACTGCCTTGCGGCTATATCCACTGATGGAAAAGGCTTCAGGAGTTAACCTCGAGGCAAAATCCGGAGCTGGAGTCCTGAAGGCAGTTCGTGTCATTCTGCCAATTCCTGCAACGTTGCTAGAACCAGTTGTATTGGCTCTTGCCTTTTCATTGGACCATTTGAGCAACGTGGAGAGGGGGGATTTGCTGCTTGGGTAACAGCCTATCCTCCATATTACTTTACCCAGGCTTCATGCTCTGGAGAGGACACTCCTCGATACAGAGCATGTTACCATAGTCTCTCAAGACTGAAGGATGCCTATGATGAATATAAGACTCAGAATGCAAATTCAGAGACCGTCTATGAATTAAAGGGTAGAAAGTTCAGAGACACTAGTAAAAGGGTGAGAGATAACAGTAAAAGAAACCAGAAAGCATGGGGATTAGCCAGGACAAACACAAAAAGGAAGAAAGCATTAAGAAAGCGAAAACAAAGGAAGCTGCTACAAGGATCTTCTTATTCACAGCAAGTGCAGAGAAACCTGTGCCCCTCCAGATGTTTCCCATCAGCCCTCCCCATGCTGTGCATAGTGAGCAGCAAGAGAGGAGCTGCAGCCTCACAACTCCTGGAAGACACCCCTCTGCCATTTGTTCCCTTGTATTTTAATATTACACTCTTTATAATGTGAATATCACATTCTAACTTATTGTGTTTTTATCCACAGCTATTTAGTTAACCTGATTCTGCCTAACAAATGCAGGAACAAGGGATACCTTTATTAGGCCATTAAGAAAAAAAACAAGCAAAAATAAAGCGAGCTTTTGTTGATCATTCACCTTCCTAGGCCATTAAGAAAACAAAACAAGCAAAAATTAAGCGAGCTTTTGTTGATCATTCACCTTCCTCAGGCAGCACAGGCTTTGAACGAATTATCATAGAAAATTTGCTTTATTTTTTTTTCTTAATGGCCCAACGAAGGGCTCAACTGTTCCTGGATCTGTATTGTTTTGAGGACCGTACGGTCTTATCCTGATTGATTCTGCCTTGAATTTCAGTTTTGGAAGAAAGTCAGGTATTAAACAAAACAAAGGGACTATGAAGTATTTTGGGAGAAACAGAACAGGATAAAAATAAAATAAAATCCTACCTCTGGCCATCTAAGATTTTTATTATTTGCTTTCCTTTTGAATTTTTCAGAATCTCTTGATATCTAATGCATGCCTTGTTATGAATGGCTTGAAACTGTGCAGACAACGCCTACTGTAGCCACAGAAATCAATGAAGCGGCTGAACACGATTCCCAGTGTGTGGGGTGGGGCTCTGGCACACTGTATAAGCACCTGACTTCTGCCTCATAATTAATCAAAGGCAAACCAAATATGCAAAGCAGCAAGATTTGGAGAATGCATTCAACAAATTGGAGCACAACTATGCCTAATTTACATAGCTCACAGAATTCAGCATTTTTAGTCCAATTTTCTTTTTCATCCTTTTCTCTTTTCCTTCCCTGCATAAGAAATGCAGCCCTGAGAATTTGGTGCTGAATCACTAGTTTGAGCCTGTGACCTTTGCACACAGAGCATATAGGTACTCTGCCACTTTGCTATGGCCCGTCCCATTCTTCCCTGTGAGAAACTACACAGCTCCTTGAGAATGTGACCTTTACACACAGAGCATATAGTCTGCCACTTTGCTATGGCCCGTCTCATTCTTCCCTGTGAGAAACTACACAGCTCACAGCTCTCCGGAGGAAAGTTGCCATCTTACCTTAAGCCTGTATAGCATTGCAAAATGGTCTGAGTTCAATGGCAGAACACATTTCTGTCCGCAAGGCATAGGGTATCAAATTCGATCCCCAGCATCTCCAGGTAGGGTGGGAAAGACCCAGGGTGAAATCCTGGAGAGCTGCTCCTAGTCCCGGTCAACAACATTAGATGGATCAATGTTTTGACTCAGTTCAAGACAACTTCCTATCTGACCCATCCTGAAGACAGTACAGTCAACCCTTGACTTATGAACGGCCCCACATATGAACTTTTTGATTTATGAACTGCTCTGTTCACAAAAATTGGCATCGACCTGCGAACGGAGCCTCGACCTACGAACAAGGTAGAGGCTCCGTTCGCAAGTCAATGCCATTTTTTGCGAACGGAGCCGTTCGTCGCCTTTTGAGCTCTCAAAGGGCTTTCCCCCAACATCAGAGGAAGCCCTTTGAAAGCTCTGAAGGCAAAAAGGCAGGGAGAAAGGGCAGGAAATTCAAATTTCCCACCCTTTCTCCCTGTCTTCCTGCTTCGGAGCTTTCAAAGGGCTTCCTCCAATGTCAAGGGAAAGCCCTTTGAGAGCTCCGAAGCCGTCTATAATGGCAGCGGGGACCCCCAGGGAGGTCTCCCATGGTGGCTGGAATGGATTAATGGGGTTTCAATGCATTCCTATGGGGAATGGGAAATCGACTTACGAACTTTTCAACTTACGAACACAGTTCTGGAACGGATTAAGTTCGTAAGTCGACGATTGACTGTACGTCAGAACTGGCGGGCCATGAGCAAGCCTTCAGTCATGTTTGTGTCTCTGCTGAGATCCTCCAAAACCCGTGCCATCTAATTTCGGTGTCAACTGCCGGGTGGGGTGGAGAATGGAAACATAAAAGCCGGGTTCCTTCGTTCCTTCGTTCCTTCGTTCCTTCGTTCCTTCGTTCCTTCGTTCCTTCCTTCCTTCCTTCCTTCCTTCCTTCCTTCCTTCCTTCCTTCCGTTTCAAGTGATACGTAATTGCTTTAAATGGGACCCAATCCCCAATGGCTACAGAAATTCAACAACACAACTTGCCTCCAAAGCCCAATGGCTAAGGTTGCAGCTCATGATGTTCCCTCTGCCCGCCCCTGCCCTATGCAAAAAAAAACCCCACCTCCACAGAGCAAACTACTTCACTCATCCTTCCAGCTGGATCCAACACCCATAACTCCCCAGGTAGCAGGACTGCTGTAGCAGTGGATGGGAGTGGTAATTGAGTACATTCGGTGGATACTAGCTTGTGGGAGCCTTTCTTAAGTGAACTCACTCCTTCTGTTTTAGGCATTCCTGAAATGTTCAACATTACTGTGTTCCACAAACAGCATTCTACCCTGTTTCTCTGAAAATAAGACCTAACCTGAAAATAAGCTCTAGTAGGATTTTTCCGGATGATCATAATATAAGCCCTACCCCCAAAATAAGACCAGTTAAGTGAAACCCCACACCTCCACCCTTGTGCAGCAACCAGAAGATGAGATCACTGTATTTGAATAAATGTAGATAGTTGTACATTTAAAAAAATCCCCTGAAAATAAGCCCTAATGGGATTTTTGGAGCAAAAATTAATACTGTATAAGACCCCGTCTTATTTTCGGGGAAACACAGTATATAAATGCTTCTCTCAAAAGCAGTCAGTACTAGTCAAGACCAGCGATGGCCACTATGCTGGGTGTTTCTAACCTTTGACAATCCATTTTCACAAAGAATGTTATTGAAGTTATAGTGTACTATGACTCTTAGGCCAGTTTTCCTACCTCCACAAACCGAAACAACAACAAAACCCACACAACATCCTAAAATATTTATCCAAACAGAACAACACACTCCACTTACCAGTGCGGGTAAAGTTTTCATCTTCCCAGTGAGCAAATCCTTCTCCATAAACTGGAGCTCATCCAGTGGCAACACAGGCATGCTGCCTTATTATCTTTGCCTTTAAAAAAATACACACATGGGTAGCGTCAGGATCTGTTTCAATAACTCACAACCAACAGCAAACAACTGAGTTTACAGAAGCAATATAAACTGCGTTTTTAATATATTACCCAATGTGAGGATCAGAGGGAGGAAAACATAAATAAGGAGCTGTTGCCGGAAGAAAATGCCCAGGTGCCAAGGCAGTGCTGAATAACAGAAACATCCTCACATCAATGAAATCTGCGTGGCCAACACCCAAAACAACTAAGCATGAAAAATCTGTTGTGCTCCACCATTTACTTATGTTCGGGAAAAGAACTTCAGTACTGCACAGAAAGAAAACTTCTTGCGGACTAGGGCACCCTTCCACGCTGCAAAGCAAAAGACATCAGAAGAGATCTGCCTTGCTGGGTGAGACAGATCTATTCCTCCCCATACACCTGGAAAGTCACACGCAGAGCATGAAAAGTGGAAGCATCCCATCTCCAACACCACTCAGCCACCCTGATGCGTTTGTTCCCCTTTTGCAAGCTAGGTCCCTCCCAAAGATTTGGTGTACAGCTCCCATCAACCCTGAGCACTGGTCTCAGTTATTAGAAGGGGGAGGGAGGATTGTAATCCAGGACTTCTGGAAGACAAGATGGCTGGATAGTGTCATTGAAGCAACCAACATGAATTTGAGCAAACTCTGGGAGGCAGTGGAAGACAGGAGGGCCTGGCGTGCTCTGGTCCATGGGGTCACAAAGAGTTGGACATGACTTAACGACTAAAGAACAACAACAAATATCACATACAGTACTTACATATTTCACATCTGATTAACAAGACCAGTGTCTACGCTTTAAAGAAGGGGTTTGTAACGTGTGATTTCAGATATCAAAGTGGATGCTGCTAGCTGTGGCTGATGGGAGTTGCAGTCTGACCACAGCTGGAGAGCCACACGTTGACCACCCCAAGTCTAAAGCATTTTCAAGAGCAAGCTCTTCAGGCAGGCCTTCCCTCCTGTCATTATTTAATTTACCTTTGCCATTTTGAATTATATTATGTTGTTGTTGGATTGTTCAGATTGTACAAGAATTCTACACAGAGCGGGTGTCACAGAATGTGTATTGCTGACCCCAAAAACCCCGTGGACCTCCCTGTAATCCTTGTTCTGGGCATCTTTCCAACTTCCCCTCTTCAAGAATCGAAACATGACCAGGGCCAGAAGAAACAGCAGTCTCAACCCCTGAAATCCTCTAGAAAGGATATGGATTGGGTCTAACACAGAGGTGGGTCAGGAACTATTCTCCAGATGTTTGACTACAACGTCAAACAGACCCAGCCAGCATTGCCAATGGTGAAGAATGTTGATAAGAGAAATTAGTTGTCAATTTTGGACTGCATTTTGCCCAAATTTGGCCTAAAGATAAAGGTTCCTCGTGACAAACGCAAGGAGGGACATCTAGTCAGAGCCAGGGCAAGAGAAAGTTACATTTTCCGACCACAAATTAACTTTCCCAAGCTCTGCTCAGGGGCCCCTTGACAAAATCTGGAAGCAACAGTGGTTCCTGGAGTCAACACTCAGGGTTATCTCTACATACACAGAAAAGGGTTGCCTGGAGGCTGAATGTTTGAAAGTATTTTCCAGACACTGACTGCAACCTTCCTATATTGGGGCAGACCAAACAAGGCCAGTCAAGAGGATTATGTGGCATTTCACTAGGTGCTTAATGACAACACTACCGTAGGGCGCTCGCAGTTTCCTCTTACATCAGTCTCACGAGGCAATATGAAAGTCAAGTCAATAAAGATCGTATTGACAGACCAGGCAACACACAGTGTTGCTTTACTAATCTAATTAAAATGTATCTCTAATCTGATCTGACATCTACCACTAACATCTTTTCCTGGAAGGGAACCTCACAGTTGCTTTACCTCTGATGGATATGTAATGACATATTCCAGTTCTGTCTGTGCGGCACCTGCTAAAAGACAAGGAGCCTACTGTAAGTGTGCAAAAGGTAGGCATAGTTCCTATGCAGATTGTGTCTGTTCATCACTGGCCATCACTACCAATTTCTCTCCAATCCTGGGCTGCAGCCATTTCCTTTTTTAATTAAGTACTTCTGCACCTGTAAAGTGTTTTTTGCTAAATGAACAAGGAATTTTAAGAGAAATCTCACCCTGGAAAGAGAGTTGGCCCCTAAAAATATGACTTTCTTCCCATTAGAAAAGCGCTGCTCAAGCTTAACGATGCATGCAGCTCAGCATCTTCTAAGAAGATACAATCCAGGCAGAACAACAGGGAAAGCCCTGTGGTATGTCACCAACAGCTGGTATCCCAAATATACTGCCTCTAAACAAGGAGACTGTTTTTAAACTCTAAAGCTGATCTAGTCCAATCATTTATATCAGTGGTTCTCAATGTTTAGCCCTCCATATGTTTTCGAATTCAACTCTCAGAATTTCGGACCACTGGCAATGCCAGCAAAGGCTTAAGAGAGGTTCAGCTTTGAACAGGTCAGGCTTTCCCTCCTGCCATGTCTTAATTATTTATACTTTCGCCACCTGGGATTTATAATATATGTTATTGGTTTTATTGTTTTTAAATTTATAAAC